TCTGGGATGGGGGGTCTGGGATGGGGGGGACCCTCCCGGGGGGGTACCCTCCCTCCCCCCAGCCCCCACCCCAGGCCGCCTCCGTGCACTGAGACGAGACACTTTCCCACCCACCATCTCGCTTGATCCTCCCCGCGGCCTCTGGGGCGGGAGTGACGCCCCGTCTTCCGGAGGCGGAGACTGAGGCTCAGCGGGGTAAGTGGCCATCGGCCCCCGTGGCTCTGTGCAAGGGTAACGCAGCTGGACGGAGCCCTGTGCTTCTCCCCCCAAAACTCTCCAAGAAAGAGCCCTCAGAATATGCCCAGACCCACGGGAAACACCGAGATGGGTTTGGGTCTCCAGCGAAAGCCCCAAACCAAATTTACTGGAATTTTTGAAAAGGAAACACAATGTGTCTGAGATGGGAGTGTCAGGAAGCCAGCTAGACATTGAAATGTCCGCTCTCTGGGACGGTGGTCTCCGTCCACTTTCACCTTCCCTGTCCCCGCCCAACAGCCTTACAAAGCAGGCAGGGACAGACTGACAATGCCATTTTTCTGATGAAGAAACTGAGGCACAGAGAGGATACACAGCCAGGACTTGGGGCTCACCCAATTGACTCTAGTTCTGGTCACCTCTTTCCGGGGCTGTTGCCCCCCCCCCCCTTGAGAGGCCCCGGGTCCTGGGGAGGGGACTTGGGCAGTTCACAGCAACCCCGGCCCCCTTGTCTGGAATCACAGAAGCCAGGGAGCCGTGAGAAGGTTGTGCTCAGAGGGTGCTCCAAACAGTCACACATGAGATGATTCTTCCATCTCACTGCGTCCCCGCATTTACAGAAACGTGAAACACAGCACCTGGGTGGCATTAGCAGAGTGCACTCACCTGCAACCACCGCGCTGGAGCTGGGGCCTCAGGCCCAGGTGAGAAGAGGTAAATTTGGTGGATTTGGTGATGGATGGGCTGGAGGGCTGGAGGAACAGAGGAAGAAGGAGATTGATTGAGTTGAATAAGACCCTGGGCCTGCCCTGAAGGAGCCACAGTCCAGTAGGGGAGACAGGGCAGTCAAGAGCCAGTGTGCTGCCAGGACAGGGGGCCTGGGAGCTCATCGCCCAGCCGGGAGGTTGCGGAAAGGGCCCAGCCGGGAGGTTGCGGAAAGGAGGCTTCCTGGAGCCAGTGACCATGGATGGAGCCTCGAAAGATCGGTAAAAGTTCACCAGGCAAAGAGATTGAGAGGGTAGGAAAGGCGCTGGCGTTGGAGGCTAGGCTGGGGATGAGAAGGTGACTGATGGTGGAGAGGCCCCACCAGGCCTGTGTGCCGGAGCAGAGAGGAGGCAGTGAAGGTGGGAGAGGTGGGCAGAGGGGAGGAGCCGTGTGGGCTGTAAAGAGCAGTGAGAGGGGACTCCTGAAGACCTAGGGTGTCCTGGTAAGGTATATATACTGGATCCTGCGGGCAGTGGGGTAGTCACTGAAGGATTTTAAAGGAGTCATATTTGTGTTCTAGAAAGAGCATATGGACTAGGTCTATGCCAGTCTGGTTTATTGTTGTTTTCCCAGTACCCAGCCCAGTAGCTGGCACACAGCAGGGGCTTGATAAATGTTTTCAGTCAATACATTAATGCCAACAGTGTACCCTGAGGCAGTGGTGAACTCCAGCTGTGGGACTTTGGGCCTCAGTTTCCTCATTTGTAAAACACGGATCATAGCACCTGCCTCACAGAGTGTCGTGATGGTGAAGGGAAGTACACATGGGGGTGTCACTCGGTGTCCTGCACGTGGTCACACTCCATCACAGGTACCTGTGTGACGCATGTGTAGAATGTGCTGTGGGCAAGATGGAGGCGGGGACCTGGGTTAGGAACACGGGGTCATCCAGGTAAGAGAATGATATGGACAACAGTAACGTTGATCAAGGGCTTAAGCTCTTCCTATAGTTTACTCATATCATCCTCAAAACAAGCCAGCGAAGGCACTGTTGTCATCTTATTTGATTACAAGAAACTGAGGCTCAGAGAGGTGAGGTGCCTTGCCCAAGGCCCTGAGGCCAGTGAGTGGTAGATGGAAATACACTGGACACCAGAGCCCAGCTGTCACCACTGAGCTGCTGAGGGAGACAGGTCAGGCCAGTCGCGGGGGAGGGAGAGGCGGGGAACACAGTCAAGGTTGTTGGGCCAGGTGTGGGGGGCAGGCACGGGGAAGGCGGTGTCAAGGATGCCCCTAGGTTTCTGGCCTGGGTGTTCAAGTGGAAGGTCATTCGCCCTGAGCAAGGGACACAGCAGGACAGTCAGACTTGGGGAGGAAGGGCGCGCTGAGTCTGAGGGGCTGTCGGGATGTCTGGGTATAGATGCTGGGAGCGCTGGAGTCCAGGAGAGAGGTCTGGGCTGGGGATCCGGACGAGGGTGAAATGAGCTCCTAGAGCAAGTAAAGGCATGTGGGTGGGTGGAGGAGCCCCAGCCTCTGGAGATGGTGTCAAATGCTAATGACAGCAGATGTCGTGTAGCGTTTACTCTGTGCCAGCCCTTGCATTAACTTGCATTTGAATCCTCCCAACAAACCCCGTGAGGGGGCATCAGTACTACCATTTTATAGATGGGGAAACTCAGGCGAGAGAAGTTAAGTCTGGAATGTCCAGAACAGGTCCATCTACAGCGACAGACAGTCGATTAGTGGTTGCCTAGCATGGAGTGGGGGCGATGATGACTAAAGGGCACAGGGTTTCTTTTTGGGGGTGATGACAATGTCCTAAAATGATTGTGGTGATGGTTGTACAACTCTGTGAATATACTAAAAATCATTGAATTGTGTATTTTAAATGTGTGAATTGTATGGTATGTGAATTACATCTCAATAAAGCTGGAGAGAGAGAGAGAGAGAGAGAGAGAGAGAGAGAGAGAGAGAGAGAGGAGTCACCCATTCAGTAGGTGGGGTAGGTGGGGGGCAGGCTTGGCCCCCAGGAACTCCAACTTGAAGGGGCAAGGAGGGGAGAGGACAGGGGTGCAGGAAGTCCGGCGTGGGCAGAGGCACCGTGGGCCGGCAGAGTATGCTGTCTGCAGCATCAGCTGCTCCTGACTGGTCCAGGAGGTGAGACCTGGACGTCCCTTGGGGTTTGTCAGTCCAGATTCAGGGAAACAGTTGCTAAAACTTAAACATTTGCTAAGAGGGTCAATCTTATGTTCAGTATTCTTATCACAAACCAAACCAAAAAACAACAATCAGAGTTGCTACTTTGACCTTGTTGATAACATTTGCAGCCCACTTTCAAGGGAGGACAAAGCCACTACATAACCACAGGACACCTCTGGGCACTGCGAGGTAGCTGCTTATCAAAGGACCCAGTGGGCACTCCTGGCTCAGTCACTGCTGTCAAGACTTGGGACAAGGGTGGGATGCATTTGTACAACACTTGGTTAAAGCAAGCTAGGTGTAAATAAAAAGCTGAGCGCAAAGATGTCTGTTGCAGCGTGAATGGTGAACTGGCCACCACCTCAGTGTTCAGCTGTAGGGAGTTGGGCAAATCAATCAGTATGACACAGTCACTAAAAATGATGCTTATGAAGAATTTTAATGACATAGAAACATTTTTGGTATAATCTTTAAAAAAAGAATATTAATTTATATATATATATATATATATAATCACTGAAATAAAAAGCAAAAAGAAAAAACTACATGATGTGAGTTCATATTCATTTTAAAATGATAGGAAAAAACTGAAAGAAGACACAAAAATGCTAACAAGTTATTCCTGGGTGGTGGGAATTCTGAATTTTTGAGTGACTTTAAAATTTTTAGTGTTTTGTCTTTTATTATATTTCCAAATTTCTACAAGAAACACTTTCAAATTTTAAAGTTATTTGAAATGAAGGCATGGAGCGTAGCCTATATTTGAAAGTCCCATTTCTCTGGAAAATCTTCTGATGTGGACATTTAAGATCTTGGAGTGTGTCTTTATCTATTTTCAGCTTGAGGTAAGGAGCTTGAATCAGTTAGAAATGCATTTGACTACAATAACAGAAAGTCCAACTATTGATAGCTTAGAGGGGTCTGCTTTTTTCCCTGAAACAGGAAGTCCCACCAAGGCCATCCAGGGCTGATGTGGCTCAATGATGCTGTTGTGGACACTGCAGTTGTCAAAAGTATGCCTCCTGTTATTCACTCTGAAACCATCTCTTTCAAGTTTCTGTCCCCCATGCCATGTTTCAGCATTCTGGGACTGAGAACAGCCTGCATAGACTCTGCCCCACCCCAGCCTGGTGATATCAAGGTGGCAGAGAACCTCAGGTAGAGATGTGTCTGTGCTCATCCAGCCACAGTCTTCCAGGTTCCACTTGGGGGCTGGGACCAGACAGCCCAGTGCATGGCCTGCTTGTGGGAGGCTGTTCATGAGGAAGTGACCTGCCTAAGGACCACTAAAGAATGAATGAATAAAAATAAAAATAATGAAGCTGTGAGGGAAAAAAAAGAATGACTGAATGGATGGAGGCAGGATTAGAACCTGGCTCTCAGCTCTTGTCCCTACCCGAGTGACAAATTGTCAAGTCTAAACATCTAGCATGGCATACGAGGCCCTAGATAACCTGGCCCCCCGACCTCCTTGACCTCATTTCTCACCACTGAATTGTGGCTGGTTTTACTCTGTGCCTTTGCTTATGCTGTTCCTTCTTCCTGGAATGCCTTTCCGTGCTGCCCCCAGCCCTTTGATCTAACTTTTACTCACCTGTTTAGAATCAGCCCCAGCACCACCTCCTTCTGGGAGCCTCCCTGACCTCCTGGCTGGTCTAGGGGTTCCTCTTCTGACAACCATGGTGCTTACTGAATTTACCACACTTAGTTATACTTTTCTGTTCACATGCTCTCCCCTCCCCCCAGCCTGTGAGCCCCTCGAGGGAGGACTACATCTGATTCGCCTCAGCATCTGCGCTGTCCCCAGTGGTGGCACATTAGAGCAGGAAGTCATAGGCCCCGGCTGTACCCTGCTCCTGCTCTGAAGAGTGCCTTGACCAAGTCATACCCTACTTCCCCCTCCAAACTGTGGGAGAGTTGGGCTTCATCAGATCACTTCTGAGGACCTAGTCACCCACAAGAGGGGCAGGGCCGGCATGGGACAGCCTAAGCTGGGTGCTGGAGATGGGTCAGAACCTTCTCTGTGGCCACCTATGTTAGGAAATGGGGTGGGTGTGGAGCACAGGAGGTGGGGGGCTGCATTCTGGGCCTCAGCAGACCAGACCCGGCCAAAGAGGCCGGCCTGGCATCCCCACAGCAGGGATGGTGGCCCCCAGCAGTTATCAAAGGCCAGCAGAGACCCCTTGCTAAGATGATGACTGGGACGGGGAAGGGGAATCTCCCTGGGGCTGCAAACACTCTGCCACTGCCACTGACAAGCTGGGCCATCCGTCAGCCCTGAGCACAATGGGGTCATTAACCCCTGACCCCGGCCCCTTTTCAGCCACTTCCTTTGGAGGGCTCCCCCACCCCCAAAAGGAGAAGGGAGGGGAAGATTTCTGTTAAGCGTCCCTCTTCAATGAGGGACCCAGAAGCGATGTCACAGCTCTGTGGGCTGGACCAAGGCTCGAGGTCCAGGTTCCTGGTTCTCTAGCTCCCACCCGCTGCCTCCCGCAGGAGCACCCCTCAAGCCAAAGCGGTGTGTATGGGGGAGGGACAGAGTCCCTGAGAGAGGGACAGAGACAGAGGCGTTGTGAGAGTCACTTTAGGTCAGAGATGGCTCTTATCCATTTACACAGTGTATTCAAAGGGACATCATAGACCAGTCCCATTTGTGTAATTCGAAGCAAGAACCCCAAGTAAAATATTAACAAAACAAATCCAGCAATGAATAAAAAGGATGTAGACATCAGGATAGAATTGGATTTATCCTAGAAATGTGTGTTTATGTTAAAAAATCTATTAATGCCATTCATCACGGTAATAAAACTAAGGGACGAAAGTCCTAAGATCACCTTGGCACTGGCAATAAATTTCAATGTCTACTTATGATAAAACTGTTTTAGCAAACTTGGGATAGAAACTTCCTTAAATAATAATGAAGATGATCTACAAAAACAGCACAGACCTAGTTCCCAAAAGGGCAACAGACACACATTCCTTAACATCGGAGAAGACGGGTAGGTCCTTGTCCAGGCGTCTCTCCAACATTGTACCTGGGGTCCTAGCTGGGGCAGTAAGACATGAAAAAAACAAGGCATAAGGATTGGAGAGGAAGAAGCACACTGCTATTATTTGCAGATGATAGGACTGTCTACGTAGAAAACCCAGAACATCTACAGAGAAATTATTGGAATTCTGAAAAATTTAGCAGAGAATATTCCCGTATCAAATCAATGCCAAAAATAATGGCAGCTGCAACATGTGAGTAAACCTTGAAAATATTATGCTAAGTGAAAGAAGTCGGTCACAAAAGGACACGTAGTGCGAAATCCCATTTATAGGAAATGTCTAGAAGAGGCGAATCCGTAGAGACAGAAAGCAGATTAATGGTTGCCAGGGGCTGAGAAGAAGCAGGGAATGCGAGGTGACTGCTAAGGGGCAAAGGCGTCCTTTCCGTCCTTGCGGTGTGATGAAAATGTGCTGGGATTAGATTGTGCTGATGGTTGCACATAAAATCTTGTGAATACACTAAAAACCACTGAATTGCACACTTTAAAATAATGAACTTTAGGGTGCCAACTTTGGAAGAGGTGTAGTGCATCTCCTAATAAGAAAGTAAAAAAAAAAAAAGAGACAAAATCTTAAAAAAAGATGAATTTTATGGTGTGTAAATTGTATTTCAATAAAAAAATGCATTTATAAACATCAGAGCAACGAAGTGTCATTTTTTAAACTCCCCCATTTACAATATTAACAAAAATTAAATCTAAAAATATTTACAGAGGAAAGCCTAAAACGTGACTGAGGTACAGCCACTCCGGAAAATAGTTTGGCAGTATCTTAAAAAATGAAACATACACTTACCATGTGACCTAGCGACAGCATTTCTGGGCATTTGTTAGAAATAAAAATTCGTACCCACATCAAAATATGTACACTATTTTGCATGGCAGCTTCACCTGTAAGAGTCAAAACCTGGAAACCACCTAGGTGCCCTTCGGTTAGGACACCCAGACCGCAGAATACCACTCGGCAATGAAAAGGAACTACTGATACACGCAACAACCTCGGTGGAGCTTGAGGCAACTGCGTGAAGGAAAAAAGCCTGTCTCCAAAGGTTACCTGCTGTGTAGTTCGTTCATGTCACCTTCTCAAAATGACAAAACTCTAATGGAGAACCGATTGGCGGTTGGAGGATTGGGGAGCAGAGAGGAGAGGGAGGTGGGTGTCACCATCCATGAATAGCACGAGGGGTCTTTGTGGTGGTGGGAGACTTCTGCACCTGACTGTCGTGGTTACATGAATCCACACAGGTGATGAAGCTTCACGGAACACACACGCACATGCACTAGTCAATGCACGTAAAACCCCATCTTTAACCTGCGGACGGTACCGATGTCAATTTCCTGGTTTTGGTAAAGTACTGTGGTGATGTAAGATGTCACCCCTGGGGAAACTGGGTGAAGGGAACATGGGCCCTCTCTCTACTATTGTTATAACTTCCTGTCAATCTATAATTATTTGAAAACAAAAGGTAAGACAAAAATATTAGAAGACATTAAAGAAGATCCCAAAGGTCTGCTTCATAATAATGAATGCTGAGATAGGAGAAGGGGCAGTAATAGACAGGGTCACGGCTGAAAATAGAGTGGCCATGAAGAATAATTGGTAAGGCTAAGTGTTAGGTAGAAAGAGCTGCATTATCCTCTTCTAATTTTGTACATTTGAAATTTTTCTTAGTAAAACATAAAAGAGAGACCTAAATAAATGCAGAGAGAGAGCCATTAACTTGCACAGGGAGATTCAGTGTCACAAAGATGTCAGCTCTCCCCAAATTAATGTCTAGACTCAATTCGGTCCTGGCCAACCCCCCACAGGGTTTTGGTGGCGCTCGTCTGGATGATTCTAGAAGCAGCAAGAAAGGGCAAAGCACTAAGAATAGCTGAGGCTCCTGAAGAAGAACAAGCGAGGGGCACTGCCCTACCAAATATCGGGGCTGATCGTGAAGCTCTAGTCAGTGGGCCGGCGTGGTATTTACTGGTGAAGATGGACAGCCAGACCGATGGGACAAAATGGAGCCTGACACGTATGGATATTGAAGGCGAGAGTGTGGCAGGTCAGAGGGGAAAGAGGGAGAAGACACAGTCACATCTGTGCCTGTGTCACAGTCACATGTAATTTCCCGTGGGGCTGGCTTCGCTCTCAGCATCCCGAGTCCATTCCATACTTAGAGAGGGCCAGCGATGCCCGGGGTCTTCCGTCTCTGGTCCCAGGCTCCTTCCAATGTGGGGCCTGCCAGGCCTCCCAGCCCCGTGCCTGAACCACGGGCCCCCATGCCTGACCTGCTGATTCCTAATCTCTGAGGGTGCCCCCTCAGGCCATCTGCATGGTCACCAAGGTCCCTCTTGAGTTGGAGAACCCCTGACCTACAGAAAGAGAAAGAGGGAGAATGACCGAGGGTGAGAGTGAGAGCGGAAAGGGGAAAGAATGAGAGAGCAAAGAGCTAGTCGCTCCACAGACAGCGTGGCCGGGCCGCCAGGGGCAGGGAACAATCAGGCACTGTCCCTCTCCCTCCAACCCCCTGGGCTCCCACCAGCTTTCATCACTGACCTAACCCAGGGGGCAGAGAACTAGGCGAGGGGGAGGGGAGGTCAGGGGTCAGCCCATTACATGCCAAGCAAAGACAGGAATAGAGCTGTCTTGGGGGTGGTTGGGGGGACTTGGGGCCTCATGGAAGCCCACATCTCAGCTCTGGTCAGAGGTAGCCCAGGAGGCAGTTGAGAAGAGAGGGGAGAGCTTCCCTGTACCCCAAGGACAATGAGGTTTATGGCTCCATCAAAGCTGGAAGTGGGCTTCTGGAAGGATGCAAATGCCTCTGAGCAACGCCAGTTCCCCTTGTCAGCCACTGCTGCCCAGGTGGGAGAAGCTTTCCTGTCCCTAGGGGATCTGGCCCCACAGACACATGGACCCCAGGGCTGGCCCACCCAGCCAGGGCCCCCTTTTCCCTTCCCAACCCAGCTTCCAGTGGAGCAGCCCCTGGCCCTGCTACACCCACTTGCTGCAGACTCAGGGAGGGAAAGACAATGCCCCCATCTCAACCTGCTGTGGTGGCCAGTGGGCCCCAGCCCACACACAGAGCCAACTGCTCCGGCCCTCCTCTGCCAGTCCCCTGTGGCTCCCCAGTGCCAGGCAGGCAGAGTCCTGATTCTGACAGAGGAGGCCTCGGTGACCACTGCCTAGTCTCTGGGCTCCTGCTCTCAGCAACATGGTTATTTGTTCACTCAATAGGAATGCATTGAATGTTATTACAGGCCGGGCACTACACTGGGTGTTAGCAATAGCGGTGTGACCTGACCGGGCCAGGACTCTGCCCCCGGAGAGCTTGCAGTCTGGTGGGGAGACAGCCAAGAAGCTGATTAAGAAGCAAACAACTGTGTAATGTGCTCTGTGCTATAAGCCTGGCGGCAATGAATGGGTGTTCTGACAGACAAGCCGGGTCTGTACTGGAGCTGGGCGCTCAGGGAGGGCTTCCCTGCCAAGGTAACATGTGAGTAGAGGCGAGGATAAAGTGAGGGAGTCAGCATTCCCGGGGGAAGAACATTCCAGGCAGAGGAACCTGTAAGAGTAAAGGCCCAGGGGTAGAGACATTCCAGCACGTTCCAGGAACAGCAAGCGGCCAGAGGCCCGTGAACAGGCAGGAAGGGCGGGCGGCATGCTGGAGGAGCTGCCAGGCCCCTCTCCCCAGGCAAGGACCTAGGGGCTATTCTACGTGTGCCGGGAAGGCTTTGGAGGGCGTTGGGCAGGGGAGGGTCATAGCTGACTTAACTTTAAAACCAACACTTGGTCTCTTATGACAGCCATTTTGTTGTGGAGACCAAAGCTCAGAGAGGTCAAGTGAAATTTCTATGGTCACACAGCTGGTACTCAGCCAATGCTCTGTCCAGCCCACCACCAACTCCCCACAAGTCCACACCGGCACCCTTTCCCACTGGGCTCCCCTTTAGATTTGGGGCCTCGCCCAGTGCACTGAAGTGGGAGGGGTTACCTAGTCTCAGGGCCTGCTGTGCCCCCTCATGTCAGGGCGGGACCTGCTTTCCCTGTTCTCTGAAGTGTCCTTGCGGCCTGGACGTAGTAACATCAATACAATTTATCAAATGAATGAATGAATGAATGAATGAATGAATGGATACATGGGTAAATGCTTCACTTCTAAGGGCTGTGATGAGGTTCATATGAGACAGTGAATAATGGAAGTGCCTTGGTGTGGGGCCTGACACACAACAAATGCCCAGTAAGTGTTGGCTGCTAGTATTACTGTTACTATCTGTTCGATTTTAAAACCCACGCCTTAAATATCTATGCTGATTAACTGAGCTGAGTTGCACCCACCGACCCCTGGTTTCTTGATCTTTACAGGGTCCTGCAAAGCCTGTGGTGAGTCAGGCCTCGTGCTGGGGCCACAGCAGCACTGAGGGGCAGGCATGTCAAACACAGCACAGCACGTATCGCCAGCTTCATCCATCGCCTACAGACTACAAAGCCTGAGCTGAGCTAGGCAGTGACAAAGACAGGAGTGGACAGGTGGGGGGAACTCGCCTGCCACTCTGGTGCCCCTGGGGTATTTCTCCTGATGGCCACTGGGTGGCAGCACGTCCACAGGAATAGTGGGTTAGGGAGACAAGCTTTTCCAGATTGAATCTGAGGCTTGGGAACTGAGGGGTGGAATCTTGCAGGGGACCCAGGCCCCCAAAGGGATTGGGACTTGCTCGGGGTCACACAGCTTTCAGTGGCAGGGTCGAGCCAGGTGAGAGGTCACCTGCCTGCCTGGATAGACTGAAGAGCAGAGCAGGGGAGGAGGAGGAGGAGGAGGAGGAGCCATCTTGGACAATGAGGGTCTGAGGACAAGCCCTGCCTCAGCCTCCTGGAAGTGGGTGGGTGTCCTCACCCCAATTTCAACCCCTTGAATCCTACTCATCTTGAAGAAGGTGCTCAAACCTCCCCTCTGAGGCCCTTGTTGACCCTTCTCACCTGTGACTCTGGCAGAAGTGGCAGTTCTCCGCATGCTCCCACTTGGACTGGGATGGTGACCTCATCACCCCCGTCACTGCCCCTGCTGTCTGTCTCAGAACCCTCTCCCCCCACCACAGTGATTTCCTGAGCACAGGGACTGTACCCTGTAACCCCCACTGCCTGCACCACCTGTGCCCTCTGCCTGTGTCACCCTGCCCTCTTCATGGCCTGGGTATAATAGCTGAGATGTTGCATCCTCCAGGAAGCCTTCCTGGGCCTTTGGCTCCTGCCGATGGTGAGGCCTCTGGGCAGGGATTGTTGGCAGGCCTGAACAGGTCCACCAGGTATGCACAGCCTCTGTACACCCTGAGCCTCTGACACAGCCATCCATTGCAGTCAGCACTGAAGCCACCCATGTAGCTTTGTGAAAATGCAGCCTTCAAGATTCCTCCTTCCCCAGAGAGTCGGATCCAATAGGTTTGTGACTGAGCCCAGGAATCTGCATGTAAGACACTTCCCAGATGAGTCTGATGCAAGGGCCTGAGCATCCGACAGCCCTGTGGGTGTGTCCTCTGTCCTGCCTCTGAAGCCATCAGGCAAAATGATCATAATGAGGAATGACAATAAAAACCTCTGACATCTGTGCCAAGTGAATCACTCACAAAGCACTTTCAGACCCGCTTTTCCCTTTTAGTTTCATCTTTATAACTTCTATCTTGGGAGGCATCATCCACATTCTACAGATACCTGAGGCTCAAAGGCAAAGGGCAATTGGCCCAAGATCCCCCAGCCACAAACTAGCAGAGCTCGGATTTGGCCTGGGGTCATCCTTGGATGGCAGAGCTGAGTTAAAGCTCCCAGGTTGGAGGGTACTGTTTGCTGAAAACTGATATTCCAAAATTCAGGACCTATACTTGGAGATTCCAGCCCCATGGGGGAAGCTCAGGCCACTGCCATTGTCCAGGTTCAGGCTCTCATCATCTCGTTCTCTCTCTGCCCATCCAGGGCCTCTCCTCCAGGGCCGAGAGAACATCCCATCTCATATAAAGCCACAGCTATTGCTATGCACTTCATCTGCAGCAATTGTGTCAGGCTCCATGGCAGATTCAAAGAAGGGCAAGACCTGCTCTCAGGAGCTTCCTATCTGGCTGGGGAGACAAGAATTGATTACTCTGGTGATGGAACACAGTACTCCAACTTTCTTTCCTCTCAAATGAATTCATGGTCCCAACCTCAACCCTTTAATTGGCCGGGACAGGTTCCATGCTATGTGAACTGACCCAGGAGACCTCCCTCCACTGACAAATACAAAGTGGGTCATAATACTTTCACTCTAACAGGCATTACAAAGCAATCCGACTTTCTTTTTATTATCACAGTGACACCTGTTGATGGATTCTTAGCATCCTAAGGAAGATCAGAATGACAGGGATTATAAAGTCAGTACAGACAGGGAGCTCACGAAGAAGAGAGACAGGGAGAAGCAGCTTACAATTTGCCAAGATATGAGCCCTAGGCCCTAATTTTAAAGGAGAAAAAGCTTCCCCAGACAAAATACAAGCATGTAATAAGTTAATGGCTCAGGGAAGCCATGCAGGATTTCCCAAGGCAATACAAAATTAATTTTCAAGTGAATAATCTAAATAACAACTGTTTTAGGAGCTCAGAAAAAGGGGCAGCTTTGTGAGCTGGAATTATCTGGTGAGACTGCCTGGAAGAGGTGGATTAGAGGTGGTTCCAGAAGATGGAGAGGATAAAGCAAAAAAAGAGGGGTCTGGGCATCTTGCCCTCACCTGAGAAGTAGGTCCCGAGAAGTAGGTCCCGAGTAGGAGGCCTGAGTGACATCTGTGCCATGTGAATTGTTTACAAAGCATGCACACTTGTTTCTCCTTTTTATCTTGACCTTCACAAGTACCTGTTGGGAGGATCACTGTTCCCAGTTTACAGATACCCGAAGCTCAGAGTCATGCAGAGACTTGCCCAAGATCCCCCAGCTACATAACGGCAGCGTCTGGGCTTGAGCTAAGGCTATCGTGGGGTAGAAGAGCCACAGACCATGTTAAAGTATCTGGGTCTGGAGGTTGCTGCTTTTTAAAACCGAAATTCTGGCCTGCAAATGGGGCATGGAGGTTCCAGCCCTAGCTCTGCCTAGGGCCACCAGTGACACAAGGGGAAGCTGCTTCTCTGAGCCTCAGTGTCCTTACCTGCATAGTGGAGCTGACAATACTTGTTCTCTCACAGGGCCGTGGTGAACTTTAAAATCCCATGGAAGTGATCTGAACTGCAGAGCAGTGGGTACAAGGGACAGTTGTTGCTATTGTGGCATTCTGAACATCTGCTGTGACTCAGATTAACTCCCTAAGGAGCGGGTGGGTGGGGATCCCATTAGGTTATGGGATATGCAGATACTCATCTTTCTGCATCTCTCCTTCCTCCAAAGCCCCTGGGGGCAGCTAGGGAAGGAAGCTGGACAGGCCCGGGCCCGTGGATGAGGTGGATGCCAAGGCTGTGGCTCTGCGAGCACCAACCCCCTCTAAGGAACCCACTTTACACAACAGCAGTTGCAGCAGAGGTTGGCAGGGAGATGAGATTTGGACTCCTGGGCTGTGAAGCACTGATGGCATTTCCTGGCCCTCAGTGAGACCCCAGGGGAGCTGCTCCTGAGGGCTAACAAAGGAGATGGGGTGTGAGGAATCTTTCACCAAATACCAGAGAAAGCACCTGCCTCAATACTCTTAGTTTGAATGTAAAAGGAAGAGAAGGTAATTTGTCCAATGTGTCGTTAATAGCAGATCCATGAACATAGGTATGCAGGTGTTAAAAGGGCACTGGATTAGGTGGCAGAGTCTCAAAGTCAAGGTCTGGATCTTATACCAACTGTAGGTGGCTCTGGGCAGAATCCCTTCCCCTCTCTGGCACTTAGTTTTCTGGTCTCCAAAACTGGGATTAGGCTGGCTCCGACATGTCATTCTAGTAACGGAGTCACAGTACCCTAGGACTGCGCGCTGAAAATGTGAAAGGGTTTGTAGGCCATTGGACTTCGCCGGACGTTTCCCCACCCAGGATGCTTCCGTTGCCACAGCAACCGCCCGGTCAGCGGCCCTCGGCATCCCGCTGAGGAATCTGGGAAGAACCTTGCCCTTACAAAGATGGCGGCGACCACAGGACAAGGGGCGGGGTTGAGCGCTGTCGGCCTGTCCAGATCTTTCCTCTGTTTCCGCTTTCTCATGCTAACGGCGAGCTTCCGTCAATACTTGTTCTCTCTCCTGATTCTGGGAGCCCCAGGAGCCAGGGAGGGAATAGTTGCCTGCAGGGATTGGAGTAAATACCCAGAGGGGGAAGGCGGGACTTCCGCGTCCTGCCGGAAGTGACGCGACAGTCACGGCCGCCGACAGGTGGAACGGCAGGTGGGTTCAGGTGCCAGCCTGGCTAGCTCCCGGCTGTGGGACCGACGCTTCCGGTGAGCGACAGTGGCAGCCCCCAAGTGCCTGAAGACCCGTGGGGAGGGATCTGGGATCTGAACCCACCGCCCTGGCCTGGAATCCTCCCTTATACCTAGTAAGAATCACCTACCCACCCGCCAGGGACTACCCACGGTCCAGGGGGGAGGGGGAGGGCCTGGATCGCCAGGGTTGCGGGTGGCATCTAGGCACTTCGGTTCCCTAAACCCTACGCTCCTTTCTCTCCCGGACCCAGTTCCCCATTCCCCTGCCGAGCTGGGCAGTTAACCAGCCCCCCTCAACTCTTGGAAAAATGTTTGCAGACTTGGATTATGACATTGAAGAGGATAAACTGTGAGTATTTTGTTCCCCTAAGTCCCAAGACTTTAGGCGCCCCAGGTTCCCCAGATCCCCAGACTTGTCAGTTCTACCGACCCTTGCTTTTCAGCAGTGGATTAGGCCTTGTACTGTAGCAGAGCCGACCCTCCCCTTCCAGGAGCTCACCATCTGTATGGGGCTGTGGACGCATCAACAGATAATTACAATGCAGGGCCATAGGGCCTTAATGGAGAATGAACTGGCTACAAGGAGAGCAGAGCAGATGGAGCAGTGCCTCTGCGGGGGTGTTCAGGGAAGGCTGCACAGAGGAGGTGGCAGTTGAGCCAGGTTTTGAAGAATGAATAGAAATGTCATAAACATACCGCCCTCCCCACGGTAGACGATTAGAGGGACAGGTTTTCAAAAATTAAGTTAGCCTCCTTATTAGTATTCTCCCTCGGAGCAAGGACTGGGTCCAATGCCTTTTTGTGTCCTCAGCATTTTATAAGGTGCTTGACATCAGCAGGTTGTTAGCAAATGTTTGTTATGTAAATAAGTGAATGAGTTAGAATATTTACCACAAAACATAAATAAGTGCTAATTCATGGTGAAAATGGAGAGGGGATTGAGTAGGGCAATGGAAAGATGGGTGATGGATACCTTAACAGATTTCCCAGAGGAGGTGGACATAATGTTCCACATGTGCCTGGGAAGGTGACAAGGACAGAGCCTGACTCAAACCTCAGAGGCAGAATGAAATAAGGGAAGGGGACCTATTAGTATGGAGTGCCTGATGATGGGCTGGGTTGTTGGTAAGTGCCTTCTCTGCACTTTCTTAGAATAACTTTGATAGAGTAGCCATTTTATCCATACCATTTTATGGACGAGGAGATGCAAAGAAGGTGATTTATCCAAGTCCCATAGTCAGTGAAAGGCAGAGCTGGGATGTATGTGGTCCCACATCTGTGTGATTCCAAGAGCTGTGCCCATTCCAGCACAAAATGCTGCCTCTTTGGCCAAATGAGAGAGAGAAAAGGCTGTGCAGCATTTGGAGCCTCTTGGGGTTTTAGAGGGCCTGTCCCCTTCCCCATCGTGGCCAGTCATCCTTCCTCTGGGAGACTCAACCTCTTGTGCTTTTTCCAGCGGAATCCCTACTGTGCCTGGGAAGGTGACCCTGCAGAAGGATGCTCAGAACCTGATTGGGATCAGCATTGGAGGAGGGGCCCAGTACTGTCCCTGCCTCTATATTGTCCAGGTATTGGGTGCTTTGGAAGTGGGGGTGAGGTCCCGGAGGGAGCAAGCCACCTCCCTACTTGGACATGACAAAGGCAGCTTCCATTCTCTAATCTGCAGAGCTGGCTCCTTTTCATTCTTGAGGTCTGACCTCCTAAGAGAGGCCTTTCTGACCACCCCCTCTCAGTAGGGCTACCCTTGTTTTTCTTTCTTATTCCAGTCTATTCTTTTTCTTCTCAGTCCCTATCACCATCTGTAATCGTGGGTTTGCTCTTTAGTTGTTCTATATCTAGCTGCTTTTCCAGATTCTTTGTACCTGAGGGCAGGATCCCAGGTTGCTTTTTTATCAGCACCTAGTATAATGCCTGACATAGAGTGGGCCTTCAAGACAAATATCTTTAATGAATCAACAAAACCGTCAGCTTTTGGTACTAGCACAAGTGAAGTGTAGTGGAAAGACTAAAAGGCTGAAATAATGTTGGCCTGAGTTCAAATGCAAGCAAGCTTCCTTGCTTATCAGCAAGTTACTTAGCCTCCCTGGGCCTCAGCTTCCTCACCTAGAAAGTGGAGATATAAAATATGTAGATATGAGCATCTTTGGGTTCTTGTGAAGGTTAAATAAAGTTACGTAACACAATGCCTGGTACTTAATAAGCACTCCTTAAATAGTAGCTGATACTACTATTATGGCAGTTGTTCACTTTCCCAGATGAACTGCCAGTGGTAGTGAACAATTTTGTGGTCCCTTGTAGAGGAAGCTGCCCTGATGGTATTCTGTCAGCTGTGACTCTGGAGTGGAGACAGGCAGTGACCTTTCTGTAGCCTTGGAAAGAAGCTTGCCACTTTGGACATACAGGTCTGACAATTAAGTTCGTGAACTTGTTGCAACAATGTTGCTAACCTTTTTTGATATCAGAGGGATTATTCCTTATGAATTTGTACCAACTGGACAAACAGTTAACCAAGTTTACTATTTGGAAGTGCTGAAAAGGCTGCTGGAAAAAGTTAGATGACCTGAACTTTTCGCCAACAATTCATGGCTCTTGCATCATGATAATGCACCAGCTCACATGGCACTGTCTGTGAGGGAATTTTTAACCAGAAAACCAATAGCTATATTGGAACACCCTCCCTACTCACCTGAGCTGGCCCCAGTGACTTCTGTCTTTACCTGAAGATAAAGGAAATATTGAAAGGAAGACATTTTGGTGACATTCAGGACATCAAGAGTAATACGACAACATCTCTGATGGCCATTCCAGGAAAGAGTTGCAAAATTGCTCTGAAGGGTGGACTAGGCGCTGGTGTCGGTGCATAGCTTCCCAAGGGGAGCACTTCGAAGGTGATCATAGTGATATTCAGCAATGAGGCATGTAGCACTTTTACTAGGATGAGTTCGCGAACTTAATTGTCCAACCTCATACATGTAAACTGGACCCGGATTCTACCCTGTTCTGACAGCTAAGGAGCTGTTGGTAGCAGAAGGGAAATTTTGGTCTGAGGATCTTGCAAAGGAGTTGCTTGCAGGCCTTGAAGACAGAGATTCCTGGAACCTAGTCTTGCCAGCTCAGGGTGCTGCCTTCACGAGTGCTTTGGCCTCTTCCAGCCCAGGAGGTATCAGGGAGGCCTCCCCCCAGGCCTCCCCTCCTTGCCGCCTGCCTGCTTGCCTCTCTCTTCCAAAACCACTCTGCTTCCTCTTACCACATCTTCCCAACATAGTTATTTTGTAATTTTTGGTTAAATCAGCATCAGTCAGCTCAGAGCAGCGTTGTTGGAAAAATCTGTTAAAGAAATGACTTTGGAGGAGCAAACGTTCAGATAGGTGTGTGAGGTTTGGTGTATTTGACATTAGAAAAGGAGAGTCTCATCAGGTCGCATTTACCTTCCGTCCTCCCCCTCCTCTCCCCAAGGATGTAGGCCATGCATTTCTGTCTGTTCAGGCAGCTCTACCCTGCTCTTCTCCAGCGCTACTTAAGAGACTGGAGGGCAGAGGCCAGGACGGAGCCGGGTGTTGGTTGGGGTGGAGGGAATGACTGTCTCCTACCAGGTGTTTTCTCATTTCTCCCTTTTCTCCCCCACCCCACCCGCCTTATACACCCCAGGTATTTGACAACACCCCGGCAGCCCTGGATGGCACTGTGGCCGCTGGCGATGAGATTACCGGTGTCAATGGCCGGTCAATCAAAGGAAAAACTAAGGTGGAGGTGGCAAAGATGATTCAGGAAGTGAAGGTAAGGGCTGCTGCCTGGTGGGAACCTTGAATCAGGAAAGCCACTTCGGAGACCTCCAACCTGCCAGAGGCCCCTGCAGGCCTGGAAGGGAGATTGGCCCTGTCTCTGCTCCCCTCCTCAGAGCATCAGGGTCTGGGTCACAGCCCGGCCTCCCTCGGTTTCTCCTGCATTTGTTCAGTACATATTAATTATGCTCCAGGACTCATGCTGGGCCTTGGCCAGAGAGCAGGCACCAAAACAAAAAGGTTCCCGTCCTCAGGCTCTCAGGGGAGCTGTCAGACTCAGAACCATGCCTCAGGGCGAGCCCGTGTTTCCCTAGTCAGGGCTGGAACTGAAGCTAGAAGTCCAAGGTGAACTTACCTGGGTCAGAGACACCCAATAGATGTTAACTGAGCCATGCTGGGCCTGGGAAGGGCAAGCGGGAAAGAGGAGAGCCTCTTGCCCTTCCCTGGAGGAACTTCCAGTCCAGCGGGTCCCCCTGGGCTCACAGATCTCCAGGGACCCCTCTTGACTCTGGGGCAGCTCCCGGTGCAGCTGCTCATCTTCTGTTCTGTAGAACACAGTCACGTGCTACCTGTTCCCTGCAACCCCTGCCCCCCAACTGCTCCAGGCCAAGGCCGCTCCTGCACCACAGGTGGCATCCCGGCCCCTCATAGACACAAGTGTGCAGCCCTTTTGCCATTTTCCAGAGCTTTGCTGCTAGTGACTCTTGGGAGACCAATATAGTGAAGGAGTTGCGAAGCCATAGGATAATTTACAAATCTGAGAGTCAAGGGCCCCAACTGGAAATAGCCTGGCCGAGCATTTTAGCACCCTCAGCTCCTGCATCCAAACCTCTCCTTCTCTGTGTCTTAAAGACCTGATACCAACAGTCCCTCTTTGTGATCTTAGCGCAGGGCCAGCGCCTTCTCCCTTTATTCTCCTGCTCTACCCCTGTGTCATCCCACCACTCTCCTTCCTCCAGACTTCAGGGCGCAGAGTCCAGTCCCATAATTTCTCCTATTCCAGCCCCTTTAGCCATGATGGAGCGACAGATGGAGGCTGGGGCTGGGGCTCACGGCTCTGCTGTACAAAAGGAAGTGACAGGAATCGTTCAGGGCCCAGACGCCACGCCACCTGGTCTGGGTTTTACTGTCCTGGGCATTATCTGTTGGGTGGAGGAGCCTGTCGTGGAAGGCAATGGACAGTGTTTTTTATTCTGGTTCAGAACTGGGGTGTGTGTGCGCCCTTCTGGGCCCTCCCCTCACCCCCTCACCATCGCTACTCATCAGGCCCCTCCATGTCCTGCCTCGCACCAGCCCCTGGCGTTTCCGTGCGGACAGGAGCTCCTCGTGTGTGTGCACAGCCTTGACATTGACACAGGGAGCTCCCCGCTGTCATGTTTGGGTGCCAGGCAGGGATACTGTCCCAGTTTTGCTGATGCCCCGAGGGAGGAAGGGGTTTGCTTGTGGTCACACAGCTGAACCGGCACCCAGGGCTGACCCCTGCTGTGGTGCCCGTCCCTTCCCCTCAGCTGCTACCTGTGGTGGCCCCCAGTTCACGCGCTGCCTCCTGTGTCCACCCCTGACTGACCACACTGGGTCGTTTTGGTTTCCCTTCAGGATTCTATTTTGAAACCCTGTCTTGTATTTGAATGGATTCGGTCCCAAGTTGAAGGGTCTTAGGATTGCAAGGATAAGAGTGACCGTAGTGGCCTCATGTGGTCAGGGAAGGCTTCTTGGGAGAAGCCGGTACCACTCTTTCAGTCACTAGGACTCACCTGTGTGACTCGCTGGTTCACATGGGCCCCCCTTACTGGCCTGGGCCCTAAGGGCCGGGCCCCTGCACCTGCTCCTTGTATCCCAGTGCTGGGCACCGTGAAAGTGCTGACGTGTTCACTGAGTGAGCGGAGGGACCCTGAGGAAGGGGATGATTTAGCGTGCGGGAGAAGATACTCCATGTGGGGGGAAATGGCGTAGCAAAGGTCTGGAGTGTGGCGTGGCATGGGGGACAGCGGGGACCTGACCTGGCTGGAGCACAGGACATCAGAGACTGCCAGGCTGTGAGCTCTGTGACAGCAGGGACTATGTCTGCCCTTGTCCCTGTTGATTCCCCAGGGCCTGGCACATAGAGAGGAAGGGACCTGGGAACAGACCAGTCCCAGCGCAGCACCCTGTCACAGCCCTCGGCCCGACGGGGCTGAATCCATCATGCTGGGGCCCCTCCCTGGAGCTCAGGACTCTCTCACGACCACAGACTCCAGGGTCACAGGCCTCCCCGGGGAAGGGGCTTGTTGTCCAGGAGACTCCATCTCAACTCTGCCTGTCCTGATTTTCCAGGGGGAGGTGACCATCCACTACAACAAGCTGCAGGCAGACCCCAAGCAGGGCATGTCCCTGGATATTGGTAAGCGGGGCCAGAGCAGTGGCGTCTGGCGGCCTCACCAGCCCCCAGCCCCTGGTCTGCCTCTTTTTTTTTTTAATTGGAGAATGGTATATTTTTCCAGGACCCCTCAGCTCCAAGTCAAGTAGTTGTTTCAATCTAGTTGTGGAGGGTGCAGCTCAGTGGCCCATGTGGGGATCGAACCGGCAACCTTGGTGTTATGAGCACTGCGTTCTAACCACCTGAGCTAACCGGCCGCCCCTGGTCTACCTTTTTATGATAATGTATCAGTAGTTACGTGGCTGTGCTCTCTGGCTTTTCTGACCAAGCCGATCCACAGGGCAGAGGGGGAGGTGTGGGTGGCGGGGAGGGAATGACCCAGGGGTGCCGTCCCTGCGGCTGTTCCTAGGAACCTGTCCCTGGTTTCTCATTGCTCCGTGTTTCAGCCTCACCAACTCCCGGCCCTTCCTCTGGGACCTTGCTACCCTAGGGTTGTCCTTTGTAGGCCAGCCCTGCAGCTTACCACAGCCCAGGTACTCACCCTTCTGACAGGAAGTACCCTGGCCTGGCACCTCAGGCTCACCTGCATGCCCCCACTCCACCTGGGCACCTTCTCCCACCTGCAGCACCTCCCAGGAAAGCTTGAGGTCTGAACTGGACCTCGGGCCTTAGGCAGAGGGTCACAGGCCAGCCTCTCTGCCCAGCGGGCCCTGGGACAGGTGCCTCCTGCTGTAGGGGCTGGGCCTTGGTTCTATAGAAACTTCAAGACTCAAGAGCTGGACAGCAGTAGAGGTCCCCTGACCAGCCACCTCATTACAGACAAGGCCTGAGACCCCGAGCGGGCTCTGTGTCCCCTAGGGGAACGCACAGGGTGATCTCTAGGCTCGAGTCCAGTGTGTTTTTCCAATACCCAAGGCCAGAGCCGCCTCCTGGCTTTTAAGGAAAGAGGCCAAGGGCAGATTGAGTCTGTCCTGGGGTTCTTCATCTAAAACCCCTTGGTCCCATCCCATCCCCCCTCCTAGGACTAAGCATGCAACCATATGTACGATAACTGAGGCTGGGGTCCAAGGTCGGCTGTCATTGATGGTGCCTCTGCCTGCCTTGTACGGGGCCCCGGGTCTGATGTGAAAGAGAGGCTCCCTGGTTTGCCTGCAGCCCGTGTTGAGCCTGTGGCATCTGGGCTCTCCGGGATGGCCAGCAGCCGCCTGGGCTAAGCGCTTTACATAGTTACCTCCTTCCAGGCTCCCACACCTCCCTACAGTGGACAGGGCATAGCGCAGGGCCCAGCGCCCCTTGTTGGGACACTCCCCACTTCATAGTCACCCCACACCAAGCCCCACATCAGCTTCTTCTGCCCTTGGTGTCGCCCCCAGTGAGTCGTGATGAGGTGGGGCAGGGATAGTTTGGGGGCCCAGCTGCAGACTCCATCTCACTGAGCTCCTTTCTCGCCTGGTCCCAGTCTTAAAGAAGGTGAAGCATCGGTTGGTGGAGAACATGAGTTCGGGGACCGCAGATGCTCTGGGCCTGAGCCGGGCCATCCTGTGCAATGGTGAGTCTCCTCCTCTCTCTCAATTCTGGCCCCGGGGGTCTCAGGCCCGGGCTTCCAGGAGGAGGGCACTGTGGCTGTCCATCAAACCACGTGGGTCCTGCTGTCCTGGCCCCTGGCCTCTGCCCATAGGGCCGATAGTCACCATCTCTTTGTATCCCTGGAGGCCTCCCTAGCTCCCAGAGAGCGTCCACAGAGGACAGCTGAGCCTCTTACAGCCAGTGTCCCCCCACCTCCAAGCAAGGATTCACAGGCCCAGGTCACAGATGAGGGAGACCCACAGGGGAGAGGCGCCTCCTTCCGGCAACCCGAGCTCGCGCCTTCACCACTGCGCCCAGCTGCTCTCACATAACCAGGCCTCCGCCCCACCCTCATCCCACCTTGTGCCCGATCTCACCCCCTTGCTCTATCTAGCATGCCCGCTGCTCCTGCACTGCCCGTCTGCCCTTGCCTTTCTCCAGGAGGTGACGCTGCTGCCCTTGTCTCAGCCGGTCCTGCCCAGGGCTGGAGGTGGCCGCCCCACCTCGCCCAGAGGGAACGCCATGTACACGCACATTCACACCCACACGTGTGTGTGCACACGCTCTCCCCCCAGGGTGCCCAATGAAACTCTCGGTTCTGCTCCTGCCATCACCAGCCTGAGTTTATAAACAGCAGCAGCTCTGCGTGGATGTGGGGGGTAGATATAAATACCTACCTAAATTGTAGGCTCAGCTGGGCACACTGGGCTTCATTGGCTGGGGCAAAGGGGTGGGGTCTGAGCTCGTTCCAAATGGTGTTCAAAAGTGGTGGCTGCTATTCTCGGCCTCTCAGTGTCTATAAATCCCTGTTACTGTAGTCACCGCGCCTTGAGATGAAATTAGAACCGGTTGTTGTATTTTTCCCCCCAAACCTTGCAATTTCCCCAGCCTTAAATAGGGTTTCTAAAACTGAAGCTGTCATGATGTCCCATGACCCAGCTAAAAACAACAGCTCGGCGCTTACGTGGCTCCCTCCCTGCCAGGCTGGCCAGGCGCCAAGGCTCTGGGGTGCCAGGGCCTGGAGGCCAGCCGGGTGGCCGAAGCCTCCTGAAGACCCTCCCAGGTGCTCCCTCCTTTCCCCCCACGGCAGCCTGAACCTTCCCCTCCAGACAGCCCGTCACACAGCTGCCTTCCCGCCCAGAGAAAGGCCCAGACTCGGCCACCGCTACTCCCCTCCTCCCTTCCTCCTCTCCACTCAGAAAACCCTGACCCAGGTCCACACAGGAGACCGGGGGCAGAGAGCACTCAGGCTCTCAGACAGCCCTCAGCTGTGTGCCTTTGAGCAAGTGGCCTTACCGCTCTGTCCCTCAGTTTTCTCTGTAAAATGGGGGAAGTAGTCCCTGCCCCAAAGGCTCACAGAGTTAGGACTGAGATGTGTGGAGGGAGCCTTGAGTGGTTATGGCTCACAGCACAGTGACTGAAGGCCAGACCCCGCCTGGGGGGCGGCCTGGCCAGGAAGCCACCTACACGGGGCTCCTGGCCTGCAGATGCTGCTGGTGCTCTCAGTGGGGAGGTGGGTGCGCACCTCATCCCCGTCAGAGTGGACGGGGTGGCATGTACTGCTGGAGGAAGCCCTGCCCGTTCCAGCTCCTCACTGCCCTGGCCCTTAGCTTGTCTGTTCACTTCCTGCCCTGTCCCTCCCTAATCTGGGGGGGGGGGCCTGCCTCAGCCCCTGCAATCCACTTGCCCCCATTTTTAGCCCTTCAGGTGAGGCAGCTGCCCCCACCCCTCCCCTTCCAGCCCTCACTGTCCCTGCCAGTCATTGCCTGGCTGCTGTCTGGCTCCTCTGCTAGACTGAGCCTCGAGGGCACCACGTGGATCTCATTCACCGGGTCATTCCTGGAGCCTAACATGGTGTCTGCACATAGTAGGTGCTCAATAAACACCTGTTAAGCTACTGAAGATGCTCACCAAGGCCCCGCCCGGTGCGCGCTCTTCCTTGAAGCCCCTCCTGAATTTGTCTCCCCTCCCAAATCGTTCTCCCCTCTGCGTCAGCACATTTGCGTCTCCTGAGGTAGGAGCTGCATCGAGCCTGTGTTATCCTTACCGTCGATGCCGCTTGTCTCTCCTACTTGTCCCTGATTCCTTCCCCCTTGGCTGTCGGCAGGCTGTGTTGCAAGCATGGGGGGCCTTCACTGCGAGGCTGGCCATGGGGAGGGCCCAGCCATTATTCACTTGTGACTTTTGGAAGTACCTGTATTATTGTCACCCGTCTGCACCTTTGATGTGCCCCGGCCTGCTGGGGTGGGAGCTGTCTCAGGACTAGGGGCAGCCCTGCCTCTCGCCTGGGTGTGCTGAGCTGTTTACAAGACACCTCTGAACCCAGGTGACCCTGAGGTGCCAAATCGCCCTCCATGGACCCTGTTCTGTGCCCATCCTGCTTTTCATCTGGGAACTGCCTCTGCCCTCTGGAGCCCGGCTCTCTTCCTCTCCCCGCGGCTCCCTGAGACCCGCTGACCTCCCCTTCTCTCTGATCCCCACAGATGGGCTTGTCAAGAGACTTGAGGAGCTGGAGCGGACCGCTGAGCTATACAAAGGTAGGCAACATACCTCTGGCTCGTCACCCATGGCAGGTGGGGTGTCCCAGTCCAGGAAGGGCTGGCATTGGCTCTGCCTTGGGGTGCAGCTTTAGTGGCCTGCTCTAAAGATGGTGGCATTGGGGGCAGAATTGTGGCCATTAAAAATTCTTTAAAAAAAACCCCAAACCTAAAACATACTTTTTCTGACTATAAAAGGGATGTATACCCATAAAAACTCAAATGAGAGCATGAGAGCATGTGTGTAAACGTAGTGAGAGTCCCCAGAATGGCACGCTGTCCCCAGGGGTAAAGCCCATAAGAGGACTGATCACCTCCTGCCCTTGCAGGGTCCGTCTCCCCTGTCTGCTGGGGGCTTCTCACAGCTGAGGCTGCCGCTGGGCCTGAGCCTGTAACCCCAGGCCGAGTGGAGCTGTGGGAAAAGTCAGCGAACCCAGGAACAGTGCAGGCTTCAGGGGGTGGCCTGGAGGGTTGGAGGCCGTGTCCTGGGGGGTGTGGTCCCCACCACACGTCCCCGTTTCCCTTGGTGTGGTCTCTCCCGCAGGGATGACAGAACACACCAAGAACCTCCTACGGGCCTTTTATGAGCTGTCACAGACACACCGGGGTAAGGACACCCCTCAACTTGCTATGTGACCCCAGGCAAATCCCTGCTTCTCTCTGGGCTCAGTGCCCCCCATACAGCGAGGGTGTGGCTGAGCTGCCCCCGAGGTCCTGCTCAGGCAGACACCACCGCGTCTGACCTTGGGCCAGCTTTGGGCTGGGCCTTGTCTTGGTTCTGGGAGGTAGCAATGCTGGGGACCAGTGGGGGACATCTTGACCAGCAGGTCTTCTAGGGCACAGTCACTCATCCCGGCCCCATCCCACCCCTGTTCGTGGTCTCATTTCCTCCAACTCCTTTAGCTGGACAGGGCAGCAACAGAGAGCCCCATTTTACAGCTGGGAACATGAAGCCCAGACAGAGGAAATGGTCACACAGCCCCTGAGGGGCAGAGGTGTCCTTGGGACCCAGACACGAAGTTCCCAGACTGGCGCTGCCCTCAGACAGTGCCACCTCCTCCAGCCCTGGCCTAGCCTTCCTCCGTGGTCTGGTCACTCGGCGGAACGAGGGTGGTGTAGACCAGCTCCCTCAGAGGTGTCAACCCAGATCATTCAGGGGTGTAGATCAGCTCCCTTGGGGTGTCAACCCAGGTCCTTTGGGGTATAGTCCCAGCTTCCTTGGGGGTGTAGACACGTCCGTCTTGGGGTGCACACCCTGTGCAGACCTCAGCCTCCGCCTGCCCTGCCCCTTGCCCTGCCCCTTGCCCTGCCTCTCCCCTACAAATCCCTGGCTTCTCCATTAAGGGCCGGGTAGGGGCCGCCTTCAGGGCAAACTTGTCACGCAGCCTTTGGGGACGTGTTCTCCGTGATTGGGGTGCGGGAGCCCCAGCCAGCTGCGAGCGAGGCTTTTGTGAAGTTTGCCGACGCCCACCGCAGCATCGAGAAGTTTGGCATCCGGCTGCTGAAGACCATCAAGCCGGTAGGTCACATTGAGCATGCATGTGTCAGCAAATGAGGGTAGAGAGGGGACAGTGTGTCATGCGGAAAGGGTCCTCTGCTGGAGCCGGAACGCCTGGGTGCAGATTCTGCTCGGCCACCTGCACAGATGGCCGTGGGGAAGTCATCCTGCCTCCTTGGCCTTGGCGTTGACCTCCAGACTAGTCTGTGGGCCTGGCTCCACCACTGAGTCGCGGCTTGCCCTGCACAAGGCGTCTGAAAGCGCCCTTTGGCTCTGACAGTCCGAGTCCACTAGAAGGACTGACGCATCAGTGCCATTCGTGGTCACCCTGGCCAGCCTCATCCCCTGCCCGTGGGGGCCTGAGCATTGCCTCACTCTCGCCTTCCAGATGCTGACGGATCTGAACACGTACCTCAACAAAGCCATCCCAGACACTCGCCTCACCATCAAGAAGTACTTGGACGTGAAGTTTGAGTATCTTGTGAGTGGCTGCTGCCTCCGGGGAGGGACGGGTCTGGCCTGCGGGGGTGAGAGCCCACCTGGAGTTTGGCTTTGCTTCTGTCAGCCACATGACGGCACGCAGGACAGGGCTGGAACCTATCACATCTGATCGAGGATGTGGGACCAGGGCCTAGGAAGGGGCTGGGGAATTGGGTGGCAGCCAAGGCCCTGCCCCGGCTGCTCAGAGCCTCAGGGAGGCGGGCAGCCTGGGGTGGCAGAGCCCTTCCTTACTCTGGACCGCTCTGACTCCTTGGGATTTTTTGTCAGTTTTAACAGTGGGTTAGACTAGGTCAGTGGTTATACAGTGGGTACCAAGGGAGGTTAATGAGTTTTATGTTTGAAATAATAATTTTATGGTCAAAGGCATTGAGGGAAAATGCTTACGAAGCAAGCCAAGGCTCCTCTGCTGCAGGACTTCTCAGAGCCTTTGATGAGGCCCGTGTGCAGCCTGAGTCTACACGGGTCTTCCCAAGCTCCTTTGACCATGGAACCCTTTTCCCCCAGAGCATCTCTTGGGACTTGAGTTTGGTAAATGATGGGCTGCCTCTTAGGCCTCCCCGCCCTCCCAGATGAGTGCCCTCCTGTCTGCTGCCACCCTGGGCTGCCCTAAGCAAGGACCAGTCTGAATGATGTGCTCTGTGCTCCAGAGCACTGCTGCCAGCCTCTCCCTGATGTGTCTAGGCTTATCCCAGCCGGGAGCCTGGGAGGCCTGGCGTGGCTGCTCCCCTGGGTGGCCTCGGGAGAGTGTGGCATGGGGGCGCGGGGAGCTGGGCACATCAGGGTGGTCCTCCAAGAGGTGCAGCCACTGACAGCCTGGCCTCGCCTGCCCCACACAGTCGTACTGCCTGAAGGTGAAGGAAATGGACGACGAGGAATACAGCTGCATTGTGAGTGTCATGGGGTGAGGAGGACACAGCCCTTGGGCCAGAAGGGTGGATAACCTTCCCCCACCTGCCTCACAGATCCCCAAGAATGTCCCGGGTCTGCCAGGGACACCAGGTGGGTTAGGCCAACCCGGGAGAGGCCTGGGGGGCCTGGCCAGGCGCCTATTCCTGGAGATTTAGGGTCATCCACCCCACCCTGGCCCCTCTGGCCAGCTTGCTGTGCGACTGCTCCCCGTGCCCACTCCCAGACTTTGCGAAGTTCTCATAGGGAGAAACTGACTTTCCTAACTCCTAAGTGGCTTTTTTACTTTTTAAATTTGTAATATTTTTGATACCAAGATCCATCTTATGACCAAATGTTCATTTATTTAATATAGTAAGGGTTTGATTTATTTGTTTTTTCACAAAACGACTACTAACTGCTCCTAGCAATCCCTGGCATCTCAGAAATGAGGAACCCACCCTGGTAGCTTTAAAAGTGCCATGGGGTGCAGCGGTGTGAGCCTTCCTGCCCCCGTCCCTGCCCCCACCTGTCCCAAAGCAGACCCCCATCCCAGCCACAGTCCCTGATGTGCTCCTCCCTGCCCCAGGCCCTAGGGGAGCCCCTGTACCGTGTGAGCACAGGCAACTACGAATACCGCCTGATCTTGCGCTGCCGCCAGGAGGCTCGCGCCCGCTTCTCCCAGATGCGCAAGGACGTGCTCGAGAAGATGGAGCTGCTGGATCAGAAGCATGGTGAGGGACGCGGGCGGGCGCCGTGGGTCTGAGGGTCACGCCCTACCTCAGTCAGCCCACACACCGTCCTCGGTCTGCAGGGGCAGGTACCATCTCCTCCCCACTTCACAGCTGAGAAAACTGAGGCCCCGAGAGGACAAGTACTTAACCAGAGGCCCCAGGGCCAGGCCACGCAGAGCTTTGAGTCAGACCCAGGATGGAGAGCCCTGGCAGGAGCACACCCACCTGCCCCCAGAGCCTGGCCTGGTCCACGTCCTGTGGGCTCCATGGGGTGCGGCCCACAGCCCATCCCCCTGGCAGGCTTCTTCGTTCCCTGAGCTGGGGGTAGAGGCCTGGGCTCTGTGTAGGGCTGGGCAGCCCTTGCTTCACCCTGTCCCAGTGCACGAGGGCTCAGGGAAGTGCACGGGCAGGGAGGCAGGCCCAGGGCAGGGAGGCAGGCCCAGGGCAGGGAGGCAGGCCCTGGCAGGCTTGGAGGGTCCCCTCCATGAGGCAGGCAGCCACGGCCCACTGGTGCCTGTCCGCCCTCCTATCCTCCAGTTCAGGACATCGTGTTCCAGCTGCAGCGCTTCGTGTCCACCATGTCCAAGTACTACAACGACTGCTACGCCGTGCTGCGTGACGCCGACGTGTTCCCCATCGAGGTGGACCTGGCGCACACCACGCTGGCCTACGGCCTCAGCCAGGATGAGTTCACTGACGGCGAGGATGAGGAGGATGAAGAGGATGAGGACACGGCAGCTCGGGAGCCGTCCAGGGATGCGCGAGGGGCTGCTGGGCCCCTGGACAAGGGCAGCAGCTGGTGTGACTCCTGAGTGTACTTCGGGGTACAGATGTGGGGGGTAGGGTGAATGAGAGGATGACAGCTTGGGAGCGGGGGCTGGGCCGCCGCGCAACAGGGAGGTGCATAAAGGCCTGCTGGCTTGGGGCGCCTGCATCCCTGCTCCTCTGTCCTAGCACAGTGAACCAGGGCCCCTGCCCAGGAAAGGCACCGGGCCGGGACCTGGGACCTGGGACCTGGACACTGGCCCCTCCACCTCCATTCCCCACCTCCCCAGCCAGAGGGTAGCTTGGTCTCTGGCCCTGCCCTGGGAAGGAGAGAGAGGGCAGAAAGGAGGAGGGGCTGGAGGTGGCAGGAAGTCCAGGATCCAGTCCGGTCCTCATGGGCACCTCTGCTGGCCCCACCTGGAGCCCGCGGGGAGTGGGGGGCCGGAGGTGGACAGCCGAGGCTGGGGCCAGTGTCTCGTGTACACCCTCGCCTCGCCCCAGGTCAGCCCCACCCCAGTCCACGCTCACACCTCGGCGGCCTTTTATTTATTTTATTCCCTTAGCTCAGCCATTACCCTGGGCAGGGCTGGGCGCTGGGCCTGTATTAAATAAACACAAACCCAGATGGAGCCGGGCTCTTCGCAGTGGCCTGACTCTCCTCTCCCCTTGACGCCCCCTCTTCTGCCTCCCTGATCACAAGTGGAGGGGGGGCTACAAGGTTTACTGACATTCCCTTCATATACGTCACTGTTCCCCACAGCAGCTCTGTGAATTAGCACTGTTGTCCCCATTCACTGATGGGAAACTGAGGCTCCAAGAAGTATCTTGCTCCAGCCCACACTGTGTAGGGACAGAGGGGTTTGAATGCAGACCTGTCAGGTCCCAAAGTCCCGACTCCCTCCCTCACCCTGCCGCCTAGGCTTTTGGCTTTTTGGAGCCTTTTACATCTGCCCTCATCTTGGTCCTTCAGTGCTTCTGGCCACAAACTAAACCTTTATTTGGGGAAGGGGAGGACAGACACTGGGTCAGGAGGACCTGAGGCCCCAAATAGGAGAGAGAATGTTAAGAGTACCCCAGGCACTCTGGTGCACCCCTCCTGCCAGGGCCGGGGGAGAAGCTAGTGGAGAATGCCACACAGCACTCCATGTCTTCGCAAAGTGGTACAATAGGGCGACCATCCTGCCTCACCTGGGCAGTCCCAGTCCACAGCTGTGGTCCCAGTGTGATTAGTAGTAGTGGCCCTGTTCACTTTCAAAGTGCCCCTGCTGGAACTATGAATTATATGGGCATCCTGAGAATGGGAGGGAATTCAAGAGGGGTGAGCAGGGTCCAACATGGGGCAGGGGTCTAGTTTTGTGCTTATTAGCTTTGAGTGTGTGGGTCCTGGGCAGAAACCTGAATGGGATTGTCAGGTAGGATTGGGAGCATGGAGGGGAGGAGGGACTGTCACCAGGGTCTACATGGGTCCCTTAGAGCTGTCAGATTGCACCCCCTCTGAGGGGACAGCTAGCATGGAGGCCAAAGGCACGGACTGGAACTGGCAGCCTGGGTTCCAGTCACGGCCTCTGTGATCCAGGACGACTCTCCGGCTTCCCTGTACCTCAGTTTCCCTATCTGAGTGTGGCTAATAATGGTATCTACCTCATTAGGTCGGGAAGATTAGATGAGTTACCATTTGTAAAGGGCTTCTTGGCACAGAGTCCGAGCTCTTGAGTGTTTGTAAAATGAGATGTATTCCCTGCTCTAGGGGCTCGGGGAAGCTGCAGACGCAGGGTAAGCGCCCAGCATCTGCGAGGGCTCCCAGCCTTGCCTGGGGCCCGGCTGGGAAATGAGGCCAGCAGGGAGGCGTTCCCGTGGGATGGGTTCCCCCGAGGAGCCCGGCTGGATGGAAGGGGTCTGCGGTGGAAGGCTTCCTCCTCCACTGGGGTCTGGTCACCACACAAGATTTGGAGGGAAGGCGGCAAAGAAAGGGGTGTCAGACTGTGGGAAGAGGATAGGTACAAAGGGAATAGACGCCTGAGTCTTCCCAGGCAGGATGAGACCTGCACTTGGATCAAAGTGCAAGAGGTCAAACACTGAAGTGCAAGAGAGGAGACTTTCCCGGGACTCCCCAGGAGGGAAGCAGGTGACCGGGCAGCCCAGAGAGCCTCACTGGTGTACACAGGGACACTGTCTAGATGAAAGGCCCCAGGATACCCAAGTTTATCTCCTAGAGAGGAGACTGGCTCAGCTGGAGAAGGTCCCCCTCAGGAAGATGAGGGGATGGACACACCTTGCAGAAGGCAACAGGGCAGGTGCTGACCCCATCATGCTCCTGGGTGGCACAGGACGGAGTCACTGTCAACCTCCGTGTGCGAGAGGAGCCCAAGGCTCGGCGAGGATTCAACCTTAGCTCTGAACTGCACACCTAAACTCTCACAGATGGTTCTGGGCCTCAAGTGGGAGGTGCTGCCAGCTGGCAGGGCTTGGGCTGGCAGGAGCCAGGTACCAGGCACACCCCCAGCCCTAGTGCCTCTTAAGTCTGGGAACACCCCCCCACCCCCACCCCCCACCGACACACACATCCAGTCAGCCAGAGCTGCAGTGGAGGCGCAGGAACAGAACCTTCTGTCTTTCAGCTGAGCTTTATGAACTTGAGTTCCACATGGCCCAGCAGATTCACTGAGCGGGGACAGGACCTAGCCATGGCCCACTGGGAAGATGAGGGGCGGAGGTCCCCACCTGGACCCCAGGGGTGAGCACCCCGGAGCAGCCTCCAATGCCAGGCTCTCTTGGGGCAGCCAGATCTCTGAGGGGAAGCCCTGCTCCTGGTCAGCGGCCACCCAGCCTCGTATCCCCGAGCTCCACGGACTCTGGGTCTGGCCCTGGCTCCGCCCCCACCCCCACCTCCGGTTCTGCTGGCCCCGTCCCAGGGCTCAGCACCTCCAGGGCCTCAAGACCACCAGGTTCCTCGGTGGACAGGGGCTCAGAGTCCCCTTTGGCCTCAGCGTCCTCAGTGTCACTGGCTCCACCCTCGGTGCCTGGGCTGGGCGGGGCAAGCTGAGAGCTACGCAGGCAACAGTTGGTGGCAACAGCCATGAAGACCCCGGCCAGGGCCACCTCAGAGCCAGCGAGGTAGAAGATGATCTCGTAGTTCTTCAGTGCATCCACCAGGTGGCCTGAGGTGGGAGGGAGGGTGAGGTAAGGGTCTGTGGGGGACCCCACCCTTCACCTCCCACCCCACATCCCCAGATAAAGGGTGGTGACCTCGATTTAGTGGGGCTCATGGCTGACACACACACACTTGCCCAGTTTTCCCATTTTACAGATGCAAAACCCTATGCAGGCTCTGCCGTCTGAGACCTTAAAAATGTCCCTTCACTTCCCTGGATCTCAATTTCTTAAGTGATAGAGAGCCTTTGGTAAGGCAGCACTTACTGGTTTACCCCCTCCACCCTCGAATTCAAGCTCCACATGTGCCCTGTGAGTTGCCCACCTGGGGATATTTGGGGTAGGAGTGGGGGAGGGGTATTGGGCTTAGCCTCACTCTCCTGGGGGCCCCCAACTCTTGCTCTTTCCACCTAATATTCAGGGGCCTGTCTCAGCTCTCCCACTGCCCCCTCCCCACACACCTCCAGGCCTCCTGCACCTCCCAGAAGGCCGCGGACCCCATACAGCTCTCAGTACAGCTGGGGCCGCGTTTGTGGGTCAGTCACTCCTATTTCCTTCTCTTTCTTTTCCAATTTTTCTATCCCAGGCACATAGTACTGTCAGGAAAATCTTTAAACTGCAAATATTTCCCCTAAAGTATGGTTTCTCCATGGGCTCTCCCCTCTCACGGGTGGCCTTCCTGTGGCTGTCCACACAACGCTGTGACCCCTCGGTCAGCACTTCTGTGGCCTGGGGGAAGAGCCCCCCTGAGCCACTCCGAGCAGTACTCCCTCAAACTTGCCTTCCTGGTCCCTGTCCCTGCAACACAGCCCTGTAGCGTCCTTCACCTTGTCACACACGTGCCTTTTCTGCCGATTAGATCCACCCCAGGGTCAAAATATAAGATGGGTCTCTGAGCCTCTGGGGGGTGGGGTGGGCCAGTTTTGTGGCTTTTGGTGGTGAGCTTGGGGGCCTTCCACACACAAGTTCAGGGCCTTTGGGGTTCCTCCTGGGTCAGGTGAGACAATGAGGGCACTCAGCTAGCCCAGCCTTGGAAGGATGGGCAGCTCACCCCATCTCAGGCGCGATGGAGCCCCAGCAAAGGTGGCCTCCCTCTGCCATTGGTCCACCCCACAGCTGACCTCAGCTCCCCTCTGCTCCCCGACAGACTCCCTGCTGCTCCAGTAATCACCCAACAACCCAGGAAGACCCTCATGTCCCCCACCCCAGCTTTCTGGTCCTAGCGCCTGCCTTACTCCCCTGCCTTACTCCCCCGAGACATACCCTGCCGCTTCCGCGAGACCTGCCCTTCCCTGTAGGAAGCCCTCCCTGACCACCCTCATCAGGACGACTTCCTAAGCGGTGATGAGTGTCGAGTGCTCTGCAGGCAGTGTGCACAGGTGAAGACCCCAGCACCCCTCCTTCTCCACGTGAGCACACTGAGAACCCCAACTCTGCTCCTGGCCCAAGGGCTGGTTCCCCAAAGATACTGTCCCTATTCCAGTCAACATTAGAAGCTGGGGAGACTAAAGCACTCAGACGCAGTGTTTCAAAGGTGTGGGCATCGAGCACTGGCAGGGCCAAAGGGTCTCTGTGCCCCAGATTACCCGTCTGCAAAAGGAGAATACGCATTTGCGCTTCACAGGCCTTTGTGCCGACAGCTGGAGATGACCCAGTGGGTCAGCAGCTATCGATGTGGGGTTCTTCCTGGCACCTTTCCTGGCTTTTCCATCCCCACCCCGAGTTGGTGGTATCAGCTTGGAGGAGGGGCTCACTGTAGGAGTCCACCCGGTCAGGTTACCTCAGAGGACGGGTCCCTTCCCCTCATCCCTGTACGTTCCATCTGGGACGGGAAGGGGGCTTCCCTTGGATTTAGGGGCACTAGGCCGCTCCACCCCCCTCCTCCTGCGGGGCGCACCGGCAGAGGGCGGTCCGATGAGCACGGCCACGGCTTCAATGAGCAGCACGAGGCCCAGCGCACTGGGGAAGCGGTGTGCCCCCACGGCTGCCATGAGCACCTCGAACTGCAGCGCGCCCACCATGCCGTAGGAGAGGCCGAAGGCGACGCAGAAGGCGACGAGGGCGCCATAGGAGCGCGCGCGCGCGCTGCTCAAGTCCGTGAGCCCGTTGGCCAGCAGAGCCAGGCTGAAGAGGTAGGCGACGTGCGGGCGCAGACGAGCCAGGCCGGCCAGGGCGCCGCACGCTGGCCGCGCCACGATGTCCACAAAGCCCACGACAGACAGCAGGAAGGCGGCGTCGGCGTCAGGCACGCCCGCGTCCTTGGCGTAATTCACCAACAAGATGGCGGGCACGAAGAGCCCTAACGCCATCACGAACTTGGTGACCGCGTACGCCGCGAAGGTGCGGTCGGCGCACACGGTCACGTCCAGCATGCGGCGGCGGGCCTGGCCGCCAGGGGGCGCCTCGCGCAGGCTCGGCCCCGGCGGAGGCCGCATGACCGCGCCGCACGCGCAGCAGTGCAGCAGGAGGCCGCCGAGCAGCAGGAAGCCGCCGCGCCAGCCGAAGCGCTCGAGCAGCTGCTGGCCCAGCGGCGACAGCGCCGACAGGAACACGGGGCTCCCGGCCGCCGCCAGCCCGTTGGCCAGAGGCCGCCGCCGATCAAAGTACAGCCCCAGCATGATGAGTGACGGCTGGAAGTTGAGAGCCAGGCCCAGGCCTGCGGGCGAGGCGGCGCTGTGCAGGGCTCCCCCGGCCGTCCCTATCCCATAGCAGGAGGGAGGGGCGAGGCCCCACCAGGACGGGCAGGCCCCGGGGAACGGAACAGATGGACTTGTAGGGCGGCCCCTTGTGGGGAAACCGAGGACAGGAGTTCTTGCAGCAAGGAGTCCCAAACCCCACCCACAGCCCCCCGCAGGGGCGGAGAGCAGTGGGCACCCTCACCTGTCAGCACACCAGCCGTCAGGTATAGTTCCAGGAGGCGCGTGGCAAAGGATGCTAGGACCATGCCTGCCGAGGCCAACAGCCCACCCATCAGCATCACCGGGCGGCAGCCAAAGCGGGTCACGAGGATGCTGGACACCGGGCCTGCAGGCAGGAAGGGTCACCACTCGGGCTGGCCCAATCTCCTCTCCGTTGGACACACTGCAGGCTTTGCACCTCCCAGCCCTGGAGGAGGATGGCTCCAAGGGTAAGGTCACCCCTGGTTCAGGAACCCAGAGGGCAGTGCCTAGCCAAGGTCACACAGCTTGGCTGGGACAAACCAAGGAGACAGTGCCCTGCAGGGGACTCGCGAGGGACCTGTCCTAGCCCAGAGTCCCCCCATCCCCACCTCTCCTGAGAATGGGGAACCCAAAGCGTAAGGGTCAGCGCCCCACGCCCTTTGTTCTTCACAGCCTGGAACCCTGGCTTGGGCTGCCTTGCTCCCCAGGCTCCCCCACCGCCCTCGCTGCTTTGCTGGGATAACTCCAGCAACTTCCCCGTCTCCACAGGTGCTTAGGGCTTGGGGGAATCAATGATCGCATTTAGATCTCAGTTTCCCCACCTGTAACGTCGGCAGGTGTTGGTCTTTTGGCAGGAATGGTGGGGGCCCCCGCCACTGGTCAGGCTTGCGGGGCAGCGCCCTGGGTATGGGCGCCGCTTCTGGCTGCTGCCCCCTTCCTGCCCTCTCCTCCCTTCTCCCTGGTGCCAGCCTTCCCCCAGGAAGGAAGAGGTTTCTGTGTCCTCCCTGAGGGGCCCCGGAGGATGCTTAGGGGGTCAGGTGTCTCCTGGTCCCTGATCCCCACCCGCAGCCCTGGGCCTGGGGAGGGAGCACTGACCGGTGCCGTAGAGCATGGCGAGCATGATGGAGGACACCCAGGCCATGTCACTGTAGCCGGCACCAAAGTCGCGCATGAGTGCGCGGAAGAAGACGCTCACGGCCTTGGGGAAGCCGTAGGCGAACCCGGTGACCACGAAGCAAGCGCCCAGCACGGCCCAGCCCCAGCCGCCATCTGGGGGGCCCACGCCCCGCTGGGGACCACCAGCGCCCATCACCACTGCCTCTGCTGGGGGTGGGGTAGGGAACAAGAGGGAGCACGGGGATCTGTGACCCAGACAAGGAATGGGGATGGAGATCCAGCGTGACCACACCGCGGCATGGGCCTGCGCACGAGCCTTGCTCAGGGAAGCCAGGCGGGGAAGCAGTGGTGGGAACCGCCCCGCCTCCAAGGGGCGTGTGAAGGATGACGGGAAGATAATAGAGCCCTACCCACCTGAGTCTTGACTTCAGGATGGCTCACTCTGGAGGGTGGGTACTCCTCGCTCCTCAGAACCTAGTGATGGCAGGAGGGGAGTGCTGGTGAGCAGGAGAGGGGCAGCCAGTGGTGTGGGTGGGGACTTGCAGTGTCCCCAGTGTGCATGTTTGAGGGTCTCAGTGAAGCAGGGCCCAGGTAGCCCCCCTGTAGCAGGAGCTCTGCCCCCATCCAGCTGGCTTCACTTTTTAAACAGTGAATCACCCCCCTGTAGCGCGAGCTCAGAATGCCGAGCTCCAGATGTCTGGCTTGGCTCGGCTATCGCCCTGTAGATGCTCGCTAATCACCAACTCTCTTGCTCAACATTTTCCCGGGTTACTCCCCGTACCATTCTTGGATCAATGTCACCACAAAAGATGCGATGACAGAGGCGGGCATCATGAAAGAAGAACAGATCCCTGGGACTGCCGTGCAGCCTCTGGGTGAGTTCCCAGATTTTCCCTTAAATACCCCAAGCCGGCCTGAGAACGTTAAGCAGTTTTTGGAGATGTTAACTTGCTGCCTTCTCAGACCACCGGTGTTCTGATAATAAATGCTTATTCTATGGCCCATCTCGGTCTATTGGCTGAGCGGCACAGGCAGCATGAGTCCAGGCTCGGTATGCCCTTTGGTTACATCAGGACAAAGGAACAAAGCGGGGGACAGGCACTAGCAGCAAAATGGGTAGAGTTTATTTTCCTCCTTGTGGTATGTTCCTAATTTTTCTTTATGATCAGGAGTGACTGTTGTTATTCGAATATTATGGGAAAAAACAAGAAGGCATTTATACCAGAACATTAGCCTTGTCTGAGAAGCCGAGGGAGCTGAATTCCGGTTCATCCCAGCTCAGCCGTGGACGTGCTCTGTGATTTGCACAGGTCCCCTCCCCTTGCTGAGCCTCACTGTCCGCACCTATACGATGAGCAAGCACCCCTAGGCCAGCAGAGAATCTTGGGGTGGGGGTTGGAGCTCTGGCTCCCCCTGGACAGATGGGGATCTTTCAGGGGGCAACAGGAAAGAGACCTTCTGCCCTCTAAACCCCTAGCTGCCCCCCCAACCCCTACACATGCAGAAACTGGCTCTGAAGCCTCTCACATGCGTGGAGCTTGGCCCAGGGGTTCACTCAGCAGCCCCATGTGCCCCCAGAACAGATGAAGAGGGTGGGCCTCAGAGGCAGGACAGACCCCCCCCCCGCCCCACAGCTGGGGCAGGGGCCTCCCTCCCACAGCCCCTCCACACCTGGAGTCCCCCTCCTAGCGTTGGGCAATGCCAAGGACCCTGTGGGTATCTGGGACCTGGCTCCTCCCCAACCGGGACCAGGGTCTGGCTTTTCCTGCCTGTTGTCCTCTCATTACGGGGCAAGAGGGTGGTCCCTGGTAGCCCTCGCCCCGCACTCACCAGAGCCGTCCAGTGGGTTTGGGTATCTAGCCTCACATCTGAGGCCTGCAGGGAGGGGCCGCCCCACCGGCTCCCCGTGAAGCCTAGCCTGATGGATGGGGGCGCAGCTGAAGACCCTAGGCTTGACGGCAGATCAGCCACTGGCCCGGCTTTCACCCCTACAGCTCCACCGCTAGCTACCCCAAGCCTGGGCTTAGAGTGCTCCCCCACCCCTACTTCCTCTAAGAGGCTTTGCTTGGGAGGGGAGAAGGGACAGGGCAGAGACCAACCTTGGGGCCCTCTGTCCCAGGCCTGCCCAGGGAGAGCTACACAGATAAGGTGGCCCCTCTACCTCCTGGAGCCCTGGGCAGGCAGAGGACACCGAGAGCCCTGGCTTGGGGGTCCTAGTGGTGCTGGGGGCACAGCCCTGCCCCGGAGAGACCCCCAGCACCCCTAATCACCTGAATTCCTTGCCTGCCCCCCACCCCCAGGCCACATTCCAGGAGGGGCCTCAGTGGCTTTCCCCTGGATAAGGCTAATCCGGGAGGAGTGCCTGGGGCTGACGGGTGGGGAGGGCGCAGAACAAAGGGTGCTGTGTCTCAGGCCTCCAGAGGGTGACTTGCTGGTCCTGGACCTTGGCCACTGCCACCCCTCCTCCTCTGGAGAGGCGACTACTTCCTGGGTAACCCACAGAAGAAATGAGGGCTGGAGATGCGGGGCTAGAGCTGGAGCGCTTTAGGGCAGACCTAACGACTTGCTTACAAAGAGGGATGTGAGGGGCTGGGAGTGAGCAGGCCTCCCAGGCAACTGCCACTGACCTTCAGGACCTCCTGGACTCCATTCTCTAATAGGAGGTCTCCATCCCCAATTCATGCCCGGTCCCCCAAATCAGACACCCCCAGTCCTGCTGCCATGTCCACTTGTTTTATTTCTCACTGTTTACAAAAGTTAAACGGGGACATGTGTGGGACAGGGGAAGGAGTGTGTAAGGGGCTCCTCCCCAGTGGGGTGGAGAAGGGGGGAAGAGGTTGGGGGCGTGAGGTAGGCCCCCCAGGGAGAGTCCTGGGGCCCCTGGAGGGGAAGAAATGGTTCTGTCCCCCAGTTCCGCCTGCTTTATTTTGAAGGCCCCAGACCCCAGGCCAGTGCCCTGGGAGCTGCTCAGGCTGGGGGCGCAGTCTGGGGAAGGGCACCCACCCCCAGCATCAGGGCCCCGGCTTCTCGGATCCATTGCTGCTGCTTCTGCTGCTGCCAGCTCTGGGCAGCCCCTGGGCAGGTGGGAGGTGACCTCAGACCCCTGGTGGAGGAAGGCGCCTCAGCGGATGAGCGGCGCTGAGCGGTCATTGGTGACAGTGGGACGCAGCTTTACGGTGGCAAAGGGGTTTGTGCCCCTGTGGGGAAAGAGGTTTTCAGTGAGGGGGGCCCAGGTCGTAAGCTGTCTGTGGGTCCAGGGAAGGCACTGGACACCTGAGCCAGGTACCTACCCCTACTTCCTGCCCCATCTGGTCACCTCCACTCGCCCCCAGCCTATCGCCCCCACAGCTCCCCACTGAGCCCGGTCCCCTCTCACCCCTGCTCAAGGACTCACCGAGGGAAGAGTTCTGGGGGGTGCTGCTCCCAGGACATAAGTTTCTGCAGTGAGGGTGGAGGAAGGGCCAGGTTTTGGGGCGAGCAAGCAAGCCCCTGCCCCGCCCGCCCCCATCTAGAAGGGCAGGGGCCTGGACCAGAGGTCCTGCTGTGCTAGGCTCCTGGCAGGTGCAGCCCTGGCATTCTGCAGGTTCACACGTGAAAAGCCTCTGGGCCAGAGTACCATCTCCAGGGCTAAACACCGCCCCCCAAGACAAGACGGGGGTGACTGTATGGGGAGGTGTCTCCCCTCTCCCCCAGCCTGCCCACCCCAGGCTCTAACCCAGGACCTTGGTCTGGCCTCCCCTGGGGAGGCGGGGAGGACAGGCCTTTTCTGGTGCTACCAGCAAGACACCAGTCCCTGAGACAAATGCTTCCCCCACCCCCCCCACACCTCCACCCCAGACTCAGAAGGCCATCCCACCCCTCCGTGCACAGACTGAGGCTGGGGTGGGAGGGTCCACTGCTAGACTTCGTGGCAAAGCAGGGAGGGTTACCTGGTCTCTGGTCTCCCTGCCCACTGGACAACCCCCGGGTTGAGGACAGACTGGGGGGAGGGGGGCTCACCTTGACGTCACTGGCTACCCCCGTGCTGCCCATGCTACTTCGGCGACTGCCGGGTGTAGGTGTGGGGCTGGGGGCGCGGCTTGGGCCCCGGCTCTGGATTTGGGAGATGGGCGTGTTGTCCCAGTACTCTACAGACGCTGCGAAGTTGCCTGGCCGTTCCAGGAGGTCATCTAGGCTGTGGCTGCCCCGGAGCGGGTAGGACCTGAATCCAGAGAAAGGAGAGGAGGGAAGGGGTCCAGGAGTCAGGTCCTGCGGCACCAACCCCATCTGCTGGGCCCCTGCACCTGGGTGAGAGGGGATTGTTGGCCTGAAGGCAGTCCTGAGACAAGGCAGAGGGATGGACACCGTGACCTTTATAGGTAGAGAGATGGGGTGCCCTTTTCCAGAGGATGAAGGGGGCTGGGCCCACTCTGGACTGCAACTCACAGATGCAAACCCCTAGTGGGTGGGGCCACCCCCACTGGAGCCCTCACCCCTGCTCCACCTCTGACCACTTAGGTACCTGGAAGGTAGCTCATTCATAGGGCTCATTGGGTTCATGGAGGTCACTGGGTTCAAGGCGTTCATGGAGGTCATAGGGTTCAAGGGGTTCATGGAGGTCACCGGGTTCAAGGGGTTCATGGAGGTCACTGGGTTCAAGGGGTTCATGGAGGTCACCGGGTTCAAGGCGTTCTTGGGGTTCATGGGCACCTCCTCCAGTGGCTTCACGTAGGCCTCGGGGAACCAGCCACTCCTGCGGGAAGGAAGCAGAGGGTCCCATAAGCAAAAGGCCCAACAACAGCGAGGCCCAAACACCGCTTCTAAGAGGAGCACACCATCACTGGGCACTGCTGGTGAGGGGCTTGCTCCAGAGGCTTTACAGAGAGTAACTCATTTAATCCCCTGAAGGAGGTCTTTCTTGGCATTCAAGGCCACCTGTCCAGCCTCATGTGCCACCAGGGGCGGGGGCACCTTAAGAGGAGGAACTGGAGGCTCGAGAAGGAAAGCACTGTGTCCAGGGACATACGGTGACGCTTCGTTCCTGCCCACTGAGCACCCACCACATGAGGGCCCAGAGAGCCAGGCGCAGTCCTGCTCCTCAGAGGCTCCCAGCCTGACGGGGACAGACACCCAAACGATGTTCACAAGGGTGACTGCGAAGGGGACGGGGGAGGGGGACACCACAGGCAACTGTAGGAGTCCAGAGGAAGGGGCGCCTGAGCCCAGGGTGCCTGACTCCCAATCCTATGCTCTTTCCTTCTCAGCCCAGCTGCTGCCCTCTGCTTCTGGTGACCCCAGGCATCTGCTCGTGGAGTCTTTGCCTGGCCAGAGGCTCATTACTGCACCTTCAGAGTAGCAGGGGCTGCGGGGGAGGCACCACGATCGAGGTTTCTTAGCCTTTTCAGACTCCACAGAATCCATCAGATTCTTGAGACCATCTAGGAAAACATCCTCCAAAAAGTCGCCTTGGATCCCAAAACCCAATCACCAACATTCTCACATAAAGGTAACAAACTGGAGGCGATGCCAACTCAAACTGACAGAATAAAACTGTTGCAGTACGTTTTCCTTCTGCTTTCATCGGAAGGTGCCTACTGATGGTAAAACCTGCCATCATTTTCCCTAACCTGTGAGTCACAGACAGAACAGTGACGTCCTAGGAATGTGGTTTGAGAGCACCGGTTTAGAAGGTTTTATCATCAGGTCCCCACGAAGTTTCGCACACACCTGTTGCAGGGACTTTTGGGGTGGCACCGTGCTGCCCTCTGACATAGGTCTGCAAAGTAGGCGTTTCTACCATTCGTGAGCTTAGTCATCTGTCTCCCCACTGGCCCACCCTTCCATTCCTGATCCATGTAGTCACCTGCCGAACACCGACCTATCCACACACCTCTGTGCCGAAATCCATCATCCTGGCCAGGCATCACCCATGTGTCCGCCCACCCACTCATCCACGACCTAAGTGGGCAACCACCCATGGACCCCTAATTCACTGTGTATCCACTAATCCATCCATTGCCACTTGCCCACCTGCCTGCTCTGCCACCTATCCACCCACTCACATACCTCTCCAATCACCCATCAGCCTAAGCATGTACCCCACATCTATGCCTCCTCCCATGCCCACAACCACCCATTCGATCCCCACTGATCCACCCATCTACCTATCCGCTCACACAAGCTGCATCCACCTGCCCACAGGCCAGTCTCTTCTGTCCACCATCCACTAACCCATACGCCACCCTCGCATGTACCTGCTGATTCCTCCATCAATCTATGCATTCATTCATTCATGCCTCTATTCCTGCCTTCCTCCATTCCTTCTCCCTTAGCAGGAGCGGGAGTGGGTCACACAAGTCTCCTGCCCATAAAGCCCTGTGGGGGGCACTGCCTGGCTCTAGCAAATGCCCACCTTCCCCTTTTTTCTCCAGCAGCGTGATCCCAACACCCTTTCTTTTTGTCTGCCAACCCCTGCTCTCCTCCAGGCTTGCTGGCGACCACAATGTATTTCCTCAATGCCCCCTTCCACTTGTGGTGTCAGAAACAGCCCAGTTTAGGTTCTTTAAGGATTTCCATTGTGCATGACTGCAAGGAGGAGAGCACATTTGCCCTGAAGGTCCCAGCACCGCCTCTGTGCCCTGCCTGGGGAGGCCCACCTCCCCATCCATCCCTCCATCAAGCCCTGACTGACTCTCAGGGCACAGAGGGAAAGCTGCCACCTCCTTCACAGTGTCAGGTGCCCAGCAGGTCCTCAAGCAATAAGGTTTCTGCAATGTTCCACGCTCGTGAGCGAGCTTTCCCCATCCTCTACCACCCTCTCGAAGGCTGAAACCCTGAACTTGGTAAGGAGGCTCTTCCTACTCTCGTTGAATGGATGCGGGAGGCAGGAGAAGCCTCCCTCAGGGAAGTCTGAGTCGCAGCTGGAGTTCAGGCCTCCCGGGGTCCTCCTTCCAACCCATCCTGCGCCCCCGGATTCCCACTCACGTGGAGGAGCCCTCCAGTTTGCCATAGAGCCAGCCGTTCTGGGCCTCTGGCACCAGCACCTCCACGACGTCTCCGGCCGAGAAGCGCAGCAGCGTGTGGTTGGCGCCCTCCGAGTGGGAGACGAGGGCACGGACTCTCCTGGCGCCCCCGCTGCCGCTGCCCCCGCCGCCCGAGCCGCCCGGGCGCTCGCCGAAGGAGTTGGAGCGCGAGCGCTGGGTGCTGCCGGTGTAGAGCGAGGCTGCAGGGGCGAGAAAGCGCAGAGGCACGTGGGTGGGAAGTTCTCCCTCGCGTCTACCCTCGATCCCTCCTGCTGCAGCGCAACCTCCGTTCCTCTTCCCGAACCCGGGGTCCCCATCCTGTGTCCCCGGTCCTCCCTCTGCGCTTGGGGCGCCGGGGACACTCACAGGCAGACGGCGTCCGGGGCAGGGACCGGCGCTCTGGCTCCAGCTGGGACGCGGACCTCGCCTCGGTGGGCTCGGGGCCGTAGGAGCCGGAGCCGTGCCGGCTGCGAGGGGAGCTGAACTCTCCCAGAGGCCTCTGGGGCTGCGAGGGGAGACGGGCAGGGGAGGGTGGGGCGGGGAGGGGCGGGGCCGAGGCGCCCTAGTCCAGCCCCCACCCCCAGTCCCAGCTGTCGGCGTAAGGGTTCAAGGGCCTGCGGCCCACCCACCAGGGGGGCGCCGAGGCCGCGCCGGGGCGGAAGGGCCAGCTGGGGGGCGCTGCATAGGCCGGAACCCTTGGTGGGAGGAGGCTCCAGGCGGAGGACCTCAGGCCCCAGGGCCCCGCGGAGGGTACCGGGGGCAACAGGGGCTCCGAAAGCGGTGGGGGCGCGAAAAGCGGTGGGGTCGCGAGTGGGGGCGCGAAAAGCGATGGGGTCGCGAGTGGCGGCGCGAATAGCGGCGGGGGCATGAGTGGCGGCGCGAATAGCGGCGGGGGCGCCCAGGGCCTCACCATGTCCAAGCGGGTGGGCGTCAGGCGGCCCGAGGGGTAGGGCGGCCCCAGCACCGAGCCCAGCAGGCCGGGGGAATGGGCGCGCGACGGGCTGCGGCTGGCCTCCGACTGCTCCTTCCACAGCAACACGCGGTTCTGGAGTACCCCCCGAGCCTGGCGGGGTGGGGACACAGGAGTCAGCCAGACCTGAGCAGCCCCCAGAATCCTGGGAACTCAAAAGTGACACCCTAGACCTGGGGACTTGGGTCCTGCAAGCGAGGATGAAAGGATTTTCTAGCTGTTAGAAGCTAAAGAACATGGTGTTGTCACTTTGGGTTCCCCCACCGTCCACCGTCCAACCCTCCCCTCATTTGTCAAAGGTCTCCCCTTTCTCCTTGAGGCGCTTCCCCTACCCCATCTGCGTGCTTTGGGCAGAGTTCTCCCACTGCCCCATACAGGGGTAAGAAGTAGAAAGAACCCAGGCTGGCCACTCAGGTTGCTCCATCTTCCTGACTACAGTGATGGACTCAGGGATGGCACTTACCCATAAATTGTGACCAAAGAATCCAATCCCAGTACTCACCCTGGAACCATCTGGAGCAATATATTCTTTCACCTCATGGGGTTTGCTAAATAGGTGTAATGAAGCCAACACATGAAACTACAACTAAGCAACAGAGGATGGCAAATTTCTGATGACATCTTGTCTGTCCCTGGATCCAGCTACACCTGAAACCCTTGAACTTCCCAGTAACTAATGTAATAAATACATTTTCTGTTTAAGTCAGTTGGAGGAGTGTTCTAAGAGAGGGCTTTCAAATACAGTTTTCCCAGTGCATCCCTGTACCCTACATAAGCATCTTTTTTACTAGTATGCCCGAAACATGGGGCCTCTAACTCGGCTTGAATACTTTCAAGGACAGGAAACTCAGCAGCTGACCATATGGTCCATAACGACTCGGAGTGGGAGGGCTTTAAATGGTAGACCTGCTGTGTGTATTAATCTTGTGTTTGATTTTCTGTATTTTATGACGCTTTGACATCCTGGTGGAGTCTTGCTATTCCTGGAGACACTGCCCCTCCCAAGGCTAATTCCCAGGGAGAGTAAACAGTTTGCCCCTCAGCACACCTTTTGTATGCAAACCAACCAGTCCAAACCCATATCCCCAACCACTTTCTTAAACTCACACATCCAGCCAATATTTCTCCTGCCCTAAATCACACCAGAGCCAGGTACCAGACAAGTAGACACCATCCCCATAGCCCAGAGCCCAGTGAAGTTACGCAAACCAGCCAGTCCTTAACTTGCTTAAACTCGCCTATCCTGCTTTGCTCCTTCCTTCCGCGGAAACCGTAAGAAAGGTATGGGCCACGCTTTCCCTTCACTCCTTCTGCCTGTTGACCAGCACCCGGTGCTTCCCCACGTGGCCCTGTGTGGCATGGCATGACTCCTTCTCTTGGGAACTGTGATATGTCATAAAACTTGTTTCAATGATATTGAATTCTCCGTGTCGTCACTCATCACCTCTATAAATTAAATCCCAAGTACAATCAAAACACTGTACTCTCCAGTGATAAAGGGCTCTCCCTTACTATTCCTACATCTCCTCCCCCAAGGCCAAGCTGAAGACTCACCTTAGTAATAATAAAAGCTTCCCTTTGTTGAGTATTTACTCTGTGCCAGGCCCAGTGTTTAAGGCTTTATTTGCATTATCTTGTGTGAGTCTCACAATGGCTTTGGGAGGTAGGTGCAATTATGATCTCCATTTTAAAGAAGAAGGTGCTGTGGATCAGAGCCGTTAACACAAGCTCAAGGTCTCGCATCCAGTACGCATAAGAGTGGAATCCTCCTGTGACTGCACCTTCCAATGATTTCTCCCTTCTCCCTGGCCCAGCTGCTGAAAACTTCATAGTGATCTCAGGCAGCAAAACAGAATGGCTCAGAGCCTCATGTCACAGGAGCAACTAGTCCAGTTGGTTAGTAGGTGGACACCCTTCCCTCTCCTTGCATGAAAAATTAGCAAAACAGTACAATGACAAAACTCCAAAGGTCTTTGTGAGCTTGCTTCAGAGGCAGTAAGCAGAGCGAGACCATTAAGTTCTGCATACGGTATTTTGAAAAGGGTTTTTGTCCAGTTTGAGAACATTCAGTGGACAGCAACTGACCAGGTGCGAGGGGGTTCTGGGAGTAATGGCCACAGCACCGAGGCCCAGCCTGGACACCACTCGACTTCTCTGTCTTCCCTCAGCCCTGCCCCCAGGCAGTTTAGCCAGCAATTGGGAACAAACGCCATAAGGTCTTCAAGCCACAGAGAGACCAGGGGAGAATTTTAAAAACATTTGTGGGGCCGGCTGAGTGGCGCAATGGTTAAGAACTGGCTTGGGACGCCAGAGGGCCCAGGTTCGGATCCCACATGTGAGGGCCAGTGACACTGCCATCTACAGCTAAGATGTTGAACAACAGCTCAACCTGGAGCTGGGCTGCCCGTGAGTCGCCTGCAACAGCGTAGGCTGCAACCCCTGTGGCAGTGGGTTGTCATGGGCTACGGTATGTAGCCAGCAGCCGCAGTGAGCGGCTGTCCAGAAGCCGGCTACTGATGTACCTCACCCAGGAAGAGCGTAATGATGGTGCCAACTTGGGCCTGTGAAGCAAAGTCCTCTACAACTAGGCTGAAGAACAAAAAGGACAGCAACTTGTCTGTTCCCCTTCCTCCAATTCCCCAGCACTGTTCCCATCCCCCCAATTCCCCAATAAAAATCTTAAAAAAAAAAATTTGTGGAGTGGAAAAGCCATTCTATGATACAAACCCCATAAGCTATAAAAGAAAAGTCTGCTAGATTTCACTAAATAAAAATAATTTTTTAATATGGCAAAACCTACAATAAACAAAGTCAAATGAGAAATGGCAAAGTGGGAAAATATTTGCCAAGAAAGGGTCTAAATTCAGTAACACATAAAGAGCTCCCACAAATTAGTAAGAAACATGGAGGAAAAGATACTGACATGTCACAGTAAAGGAAATCAAATGGCTGTGAAACATGAAAAGACGTCAACATCACTAAGACAAGTATCAAGTAAAATGACACTGAGATGCCATTTTTACCTTTTTGATTAGCAAAGATCAAACGGTCTCACACTGTTGTCAAGGAAACAGGGGCTCTCACACCGTGCTGGTGGAAGTGTGAACTGGTGCAACCAATCCTATGTCCTTGGACTCACCAATTCCATTCCTAGAAATTTATCCTGGAGATACACTTGAATAAATGCAATGAACCCAGAGAAGCTGAGGGTAAGGTAGAAAGGTGTGTTATTGACTAGACTTGGACTAAGCAGCACTGATTATGGAGACAATGGGGACATCTTACTGTGCCAGGTAGTTATAGTTCTTTAAATCTTGGGCATTCTGCTTATAGATATAGTAACAGGTAAATATGTATGTATGCTTAGCTATCTTAGGAGTTAGATCTTGTATGTCCTAAAGCCCTGCTGGGTCAGGCAACATGCTACCTATTCCCCATAGCTAGGGGAAGTCTGTCTCATTCAATCCACAGCCCCTCCTGAGGGGAGATCACCCAGGAGGAGGCGGCCAAAGGAGGGGTCAGTTCCTTAATGTTGGAGGTTAACTGTTCAGGACACAGGCAGAAAGGAGTTGCTTCCAAAGAAGGTATAGAAATGGCTGATAAACACATGAAAAGATATTCAGCATCATTAGTCATCAGGCAAATGCAAATCAAAACCACATCAAGATACCACTTCACACCCAGTAGAACGACTGTAATAAAAAAGATGGACAATAACAAGTATTGACGAGGAGGAGGAGAAACTGGAACCCTCACACACTGCTGGAGGGAACGTAAAATGGTGCAGCCACTTTGGAAGGGTCTGGAAGTTCCTCAAACAGTTAAACAGAGTTACCATATGACCCAGCAATCCCATTCCTAGGTACCCATGAGGAATGAAAACATGCCCATACAAAAACTATTACACAGATATCCCTAGCAGCATTATTCATAATAGCCAAAAAGTAGAAACAACCCAGGTTGTCCATCAATTAATGAATGGATAAAGAAAATGTGGTCTATCCAGACAACGGAATATTATTCGGCAATAGAAAGGAATGATGTACTGACACACACTACACATGGATGAACCATGATGCTCAGTGAAAGAAGCCAGTGACCAAGGGGCACATATTGTATGATTCCATTTATATGGAATGTCCAGAAGCGGCCAATTTATAGAGACAGAAAGTAGATTAATGGTTGCCCAGTGCAGGGGGAGGGATGGGAGGTTAGAGAACGGCCGCTAAGAGGTAGTGTGTTTTTTTAGGGGTAATGAGCATGTTCTAAGCTTGATTGCAGCAATGGATGCACAACTCTGAATATACTAAAAACCAAGGAATTGTGCACTTTAAATGGATGACTTGCATGGTGTGTGAATTGTATCTCAATAAAACTGTGCAGAAGAACAATAAGCGGTTCTTCCTCAGAGGATCACTCTGGGAAAGAACAGGGGCAGGAGAAGGCCGAGCCCTGAGCCTGGGGCTGGGTGTGGTGGTGACAGTGGGAGAAAGTCAGCTGGAGCCAGAGAGCAGCCATTGGATCCAGCTGTGTCTCCCACCTCTGCTCAACACCAGGGGCCCCTGGGTTCAGATACTAAGAATCAGGGAGAGGCCTGGCAGGTGTAAGGAGCCTGAGGTGGGGAGGCAGGAGTCTGCTGGCTGTTGGGAGCAGCAGGCTGCAAGCAGAGGGGACTCCTGAATGGTGGCTTTTGTTCTCATCTTTGAAGGGATGAGCGCAGGGCCAGGAGAACACATTCCAGGCTCCACCACTGCATGAACTTTGTGAGGTGGGGGTTACTTCCCCCCTTTCCCAGATAAGAAAATGAGGCTCAGAGAAATGAAATCGCGTGCTAGAATTTGCAGCCAGAGTTCAGCGGTTGGGAAACTGAACAGGAATACAAAGAAATCAGAACGAAGACTAAGTAAGAAAACAAAGAAATAGAAAGCAATGGAAAGAGCACTGAGGTGGGGGGAGGGGCGGAGGAGCCCATGTTGGTGGCATCAGGCAGGAGAGGTTGGCTGGGTGGGTGGGTCAGGGACCTGCGAGCTCTCTCAGGTGCAAAACAGAGCCAGAGTGTGGCACATTATCTGGGCTCCAAAAATATTTGTTAAATTAGTGAATGAATGAACGATTGCCATTGGAAAAAGGCAGGGACAGTCATCGATTTATGCGGATGAGCGAATGATGGGAAGATGGTGTCCCAATGTCACTGGCACCTCCTGCTGCCATCATCCCTCTCTCTGGAGGGGTCAACGGCTAGGCCAGGCCAGGCAGGCAGGCAACTCCACGTGCCAGGCGGGCAATTATGAGGCATTGGCCCCTGTTGTACCTTTACAGAAGAGAGCAGGACACAAGTTTGACCACTTCTGGGCTGGCAGGGGCCTGAGGAGCTGAAACTGAGAGGCCAGGCAAGGACTAGGACTCAGGGGCCGGAGTGGTGCAGCCCACAGAGGCAACATCGAGTGTCCCTCTGAGTGTGCCCTGGGAGGGGCTGCTGGCTTTGCTGAGTTCCAGGGCTCCGTCTGGCTGCTACTAATGAGCAAGGTACCTCTTTGTAATTTACAGACAGATGTCCCCTCTGAATGGACAGAGCCTGGTGAGAGGATGACCAATTTGTGCAAAGAAAAATATGCTCCTTTCTGTAGGCAAACACAGTCCGCACCAGCATGTTCAGCTTGGAAAGCAGAGCACAGCGCCTCCTCTCAACCAGGCATGCTTGTGCAGTGCACAACTTGCACAACCGTCCCTAGCAGCCCTGTCTGCAGAGGTTTTCCACGTGAGTAGGCTACATTAATCTCTATCCCTGAGGCTGAGCGAGAGCTCATGTTTCCAACAGGAAGACCTGGGGCAGAGTGGGGGCCCACTGGGGTAGAGATTGCTCCACTCCCACACCCCACATTTGTCAGCACCACTGCCTGAGTCCTTGCAGTTCCACTCAGCCCAGAGTGACAACAGGACCACGAGGAGGCAAAGGAATAGAACAAGGCACCTAAGAGGACCCAGTGGTCAGGGAGGAGAACCCAGCAGACCATCCAGGCAGCTGGAAGAAGAGGGAACAAGAACTTGATAAGAGCACTTGCCACATAACAAAGACCTTTTCACACAGACAGAGCACAATTTTAAGATTTAAAATTGAACAGATGAACTAAAAGAGAAGACAGTCCCATTGAGAACAGAGTTGGTGGCCTGACAGCTCAAGGGAGAAATATCTCAAAATACAGAGCAAAAATACGTGAAAAAGACATGGTCATAGATGCGGAAGCCCAAATGATCGGAGTTCCAGAGGAGAAAAAGGACGGCAGAGAGATAATAATAAAGAAACGGAAGAGGAAACAGCTTCTCTGACCTGAAGGAAGATTTGAGCCTGGAGACTGAAGGGGCACCAGCATGCACTCACCTAGGTGGTGCGTGGACGAGTTCCCGAGTCCCAAGGACACAAAGAAAATCTCCAACCATCCACAGACAAAGAGCCAGTTACTTAGAAGGAAAGGAGACAGATCAGGACCCAACTTAGTACCTATAACATGGAGCACAGCAACAGGAGAACATCATCTTAGACCATAAGATAAAAAGCCTGTGACTGGAGTCCTGCAGCCATTCACCAGTCAGGCTACAAGTGAGACATTTGCAGATATGCAAGGATTCAGACGGTGTATCTGCAGAAAATACTCTTGAAAGTTCTCTAGCCACACTGATTAATCAAGACAGAAGCCTCAAGACAGTAGGAAATTAAAAGGAGTGGAAATAGTGGTGAGTGTACCTGATTATATGTATGTGCAATATTAGTGGGTGATGGCAGTGCCCCGGGCAGTGGCAAGTAAGTAATCTAAGTAAAGCCTCTTGGAATAGATGGGCCACGCTGCAAAGAAATAATTAGTGAGAGTCTGGAACTAAAAGTCCTGAATTTTCTTGGCAAAACCAAGAGGTGTGGGTTAGGGAGGATGAAGGGAGGAGTAAAACCTTTCCAAGGCCTCATTTCAGAGGACCAGGGAGGGCAGGGAAATCCTTCTCAAGGTCTCATCCTATGGGGTTGGGGGAGCAATGGACCGGGGGGGGGGTCCAGTATTTTTTTTTAATAATGAATATATGTGATTAGAAGGGCCATAAAATCAGGTCATCACAGGTAGAGGTGAAAAGAACAGTTGAATTTCCAAATTAATAAAGGGGTAACGGGAATGTATTGAACTCAACCAAACTGACAAGAATAAGAATGGGAGAGAAAAAAGGAAATGACAAATACAATTAAATCAAGTTACCCAAAAAGAATAAAACAGGCATATCAGTTGTTAGGTTAAATGGAGTGGACTGAATTCCTCTTTTAGAAGACATAGACTGTCAGACTGGTCAAAACTAAAAAACTGAGCTATAGCTTAGTAACAGAAAACACACTTAAAACCAAGAGATTAAAAAAAGATCAAGAAATAATAAAATAAAATAAATAAAACAAAGAGGTACGAGAAGAGCATGTAGGAAGAGCAATATTAATCTCAGACAGTGAGATTAAAAGCATCAGACTGGATTATGAGAGACATTAAGTACTTAAATGGCAATATCTACAGAGAAGGTACAATAGTCATAAACCCAACAGCACTAAACAACAACATGGCAGCTAAATACAGAAAGCAAAGTTCATTAGAAATCCAATGAAAAGTGAAAAAATCTGACTGGTCTCACGGATGGAATAAAGCAAGAGCACAGAGAATTTAAATGATATGATAAAATTAATAGACAATAACTGAATCAACATACAAGTTAATGAAGTTGTGAATGGTAAGTATATGCAAGCGGGAATGAAAAACAGATGGTTCCTAATGAGTGAATAAATACATGGATCGGTGAATGACTGCGTGAATAAATCATAAATGAATAAATGAATATCTGATGATAAACATAAACACAGAAATGAATAAACAAAGAAATCGATGGGGAAAGTAAATGAAAACAATATCTCTTGAGGAAGGGAAGGAGGAACGGGGTGGGAGGGAAGGAAACTCCTGGGTGCAGCCAGCTCGCAGAGAGCACAGTCCCTAGAAGGGCTCTATTCGCTGTCCCCTGGCCCCAGCTCACCCGGCCAAAAAACTGTAGGAAGGTATTGGAAAGTAGCAGGTGCTTCTCGGCCAGGAAACGATAGCGCCGCTTCTCTTCCAGTTCGGCGGCCCTCTGACTCTCCGACACGAAGGTCTGCATCTGCGCATGCAGCCGGTTCACGCTCTCCTGGGAGAAAGGGCTTCTGGCTGGAGGCAGGGCGTTGCGCCTCATCCCACCCACCACAAGCGCCAGCTGTCTGAAGCCTCCCAGTCCTTCCTGACCCAGCCGCCTCATCGTGGAAGCCTCCCCTGAGCCCTGGGCCCATCCCAGCTCCCTGCCCTCTCACGGGCATCCTCATCCTCATGAGCCTGGGCCCTGCGTCCCCCCTGGCCCGGGTGCTTCTCACACGCAGGGCTGGCTTCTGAGTCATCCATCGGCCCCAGCACAGAGGCGGGGCCCAGGGAGGCTAGTTTGATGCAAGTGCAACCTCCTACTTGGGAGGGAAGATACTGAAGAGAGATGAGCTTATTAGAGCCAGAGGAGGAGCAGGAAGGGGGATGGAGGTCTTATAGATAAAGGCCAGGGGTGGGGAGGAGGGGCTCAGGAGGAGGGCAGCCTTAGCCAGGGGGGCAGATACCACTGCCTGGGCAGGAGGGCGGGGAGGCCGGTGGGGCTGCCGGTGGATGGCACCTTGGCTGCCAAGTTCAGGAGCAGCATGACTGATGGCCTCGGGTTTTCTCGGTGAAGTAGGAGAAGTGAGAGGGGTACTAGGGTTTTGGAGGAGGCCTGGGGCACCTGGGGAGGGCCAGGAAGAGACAGGACAAGGAGTGGAGCTGAGGGTGTCCCTATGACCACTAATGGGGCTGGCTGACCTCTCCAGCTGTCCTCACCACAGACGGTGGGGCAAGCCACACCCCCGGAGCTGGGCTGGTGCCTGATCGGGGAGCTCAGGAGGGTGCAGAAGGTCCCCCTAGAGCCCAGTGTTGCCCCCAGCCCTGGCACCTTCATCTCCCGCACATTCTTGTCCCGCTTTCGCTCCATGCGCCACAGATCAGACATGCGCTTCTCCAGGTTGGCGGCTCGGTGGCGGTACTCGATCTCATAGTGCTGGCGGCTGTCCTTGGGTGGGGTGGAGAGAGGAGGGACACCCCCACGTCAAAGAGCTCAAGGCACCGGTCCACGGGTCAGAACACTGGACAGGAGCCAGGGGCCTCGGCTGGGAAGGTAGAACCTGGGGCCTGTCAATGCCCAGCGCGGACCTCAATGTGCCCATCTGTCAAATGGAAAGAAGTGTTCGCCTGTGCTGGGCAGGGGGCTGAGGTGGGGCAGCCAGACTCACTTTGATGAACTGCATGTCCAGCTTGGTGTTCTTCTCCATGTGCTGCAGCAGGTCTCCGTGGAATGTCTGCACCTGTGTGGAGTGCAGAACGGGGGTGATCTGGGAGGCCCTGCCTTTCCCAGGTCCCAGCATCCCTTGTACTGGCCATTCAGATACATTGCCCGCCATGCTCCTAACACACCAGATACCTGGCCAATCATCAGAGAAATGGGCCTAATAAGAGCACCTGGTTGGAGGAAGGACTGAATTGTTCAACATGCAAAACACTTGGTGCAGTACCTCGCTCGAATCACCCTGGATAAATGTGTCAACAGCTTCTGGTTCTTACTGTTAGCCTTAGTCTGGGCTTTGGTGATGCCATTCCCTGTGCCTGGAACTTCCCACCAACCTTCAAACACCAGCTCCCCTGCCCCCTCTGCAAGGTGGCCTTCCTGACACCCCCAGGTAGAATCCGTTGCTCAGTCATTTTGTTTCTGGAATGTGTACCCATTTGTTTGTTCACTGTTCATTCCTCCAGCCACAGGACAGAATTTCACGCTGGGCCTCTGTTCAGCTCCTTGGTATGAGCAGCAAACGCTGTGGGCATGGACCAAATCTGACCCATCTCTGTGTCCTTGGCACCGTGGGCAAGGCTTGGCCCATGAAAGCGCTCAGAACTGTTGAGTTCTTAGCTGTGAGGGAGATGGATTCCAATGACAGGTGAGAAGGAGGCATGACCACCTGGGTGACCAGGAAGGCTACTGGGTTCACCCTCAGAAGAGCTACTCCCTAGTTCTGGTTCTGTCTGCAATTTTCTCTGTGACTTTGGACAAGCTGCTGCCCCTCTCTGGGCCTTAGTCTCCCCACCTGAAACAGGAAAGGCTTGGCCAGATGCTCTCTAAGCTCCAGCCCTATGAACCCGATGAGCTTTGATTTCGTGGGCCTCAAGGGTCACCTGGCACATTCCCCTTGTGTCTCCCATCAGTGTTCAGAGTTCCTGGGTCAATCTGCATTGGGGCTTCAGACCTAAATCCCTCCAGCTGCACCAGGAGCACAGAGGAGCATCTGTCATCCCACTGCCACTCCTCTTTGGGGACCCTTCCACCTCTGCTCAGCCTTCTCTGTCTGCAGAGCTTTTGCCCTCAGCAGCCCCTGCTCAAGAGCTCCGTGGATCCTGCCTCCTGCCCGGGGGGTCCCCATGCTATGCTGCGGGAGCTCGGGGTAGGGCATTGCCCAGAAAAGGAACGCTGGCAATTTCCTCCCAGTATGCAGGAAAAAACCAATCAATTATAAAAGTTATGAATTGTAAGTTTTTCTCCCACAATTGTTTCTGAAGCCTTGGTAACTGCTGGTCCGCGAGGGAGCTGGAGTTGGTCTCCCCAGAACTGGTCACGCCCTGAACCCCTGAGCTGTGGCTGCCATGGTGTGTGTGTGTGTGTGTGTGGCAGGGAGGGGGTGCTGACCCACATTTCTGCCCCTTTTCTGCTGGATCCAGTAAGAAGTGAATCTTCCCACCCTGTACCTGCGGGGCCTCCCAGCAAGGGCCTCCGAGGCGCCTCGCCCTCCTCCCGGCCCTGCCTCCCACTGAAGAGACAGGCCAGGATTTCTGTTCAAACACAGACTGTGTGCTTCTGAAAAGCCCACAGGCGACAATATTGCCCAATAGAAACAACAGAGCTTATGAGAGATGCGGGGTGGGGCAGACCCTCAAAACCCAGGCGACTTTGTAACCAGAGCACGAATAAAGGTGGAAAATGGTACCTGGAGAGACGAATCTGAATGCACAGAAGGCCACAGAAACAATTTTAAATGCACAAAACCATCAGAAGCGGCATGCTGGCCATGCTTTAAATTGCCACAATGCTGGCCTGCTGAGATGACGCAGGAGGACGTGGAGGCATCACGAAGGTGGGTATGGGAGGCAGTGATAACTCCTGTTCCCAGCAGAGAGCCCTGGGAGTCTGGGAGCTCTCTTCCCAGGGAGGCCTGGGTGCAGGTGCTCTTTTAAAATGTCCTTAAAATACTAAGAGCAGACAAGTTGGGAGCGTTCACTCTTCTTCCTAATTCTGTTACCCCCACCCCACTCCTCTTGCCTGAAAACAGCTTATGAAGAAGCCACCTTCCATGCATAAGGTATCACTTCTTCTGCTTCGTCACATATGAACTGAGTCACACCATGGAAATGGGCCTTAGAGCACGATAGCGGGACTATAATTCTTCCCATTGCCACGGCTTGCCAATGGGGCAGAGGCCACAGACCCAGGATGCGCCAATCAGGGGGCCCAGGCACATAGGGTCAATGGAATGTCCTCATCAAGCTCCTAAAGAAATAGTTCTATTAAGAGGTTGATACTTGAAGTGGATTTTGAGCTCTTGCTGTGGGGGAACCAGAGGACTGTCTAATTAGCAGGTGGCTTCTGGAATAAGGAAGTCACCAACTCCAGGCAGGCTGAGGAACTCCTAGAGACTGCCCTCCTCTGCTCCCCTCTCCCGGGCACACACTTCATGAGTGGGACCCGTAAGCCCCTCAGCACAGCAGCCAAGGGCAGCCTCACTGTTGAAAACATGCACTGTAATGTATGTATTGAGTTACTCCAGTAACTCAAGAAATCCCTCTGCCATCTACACAGAAATAGCTCCTTGAAAGAATTGTCTCTGTGGGCTGACCCCAACTTCTGTCCTCTCATTTGCTTTTGAATCCCCTCCAGTCAGGCTATGCTCCATCACACTAACTAAAATGTTTTTATTTTTTGTTTTTTGTTTTTTTTTTAGTTTTTTTTTTAGCTGGGCCATCCTGCCACCTGTTGGCAGCTCAGCTCGGGCCAGGAATCCAACCGGCAACCTTGTCACTCAGAGCTCGCACTCTTAAGCGAGCTCTTAACCGACTGAGCCACTCGGCTGTTCCCTAACTAAAATGTTTTTGTGGACATCACTGAGACACCACGTTGCTAAGTCAACTCTCAGGACTCGTCCCCCTTAGCCTGTTGTCATCATTCGGCATGGATGGCCACTCCCTCCTCCTGAAACACCTTCTTCCCTTAGCTTTAGCCCAGCACCCTCTCCCGGTTTTCCTCGCACCACCCCCGGCTGCTGCTTCTCTGTGCTTTGCTGGTTCTCTCTCATGTCCCTGGTTCTTGAAGGTTGGGTTGACCCAGGGCTCCGCCTTGGTCTTCTTCCCTTCCTTATCTCCACCTCCTCGCTCGGTGAGCTCATGCAGTCCATATGCTCACAACTCCCACCTATATATCCCAGCCCAACCTCTCCCGCAGACTCTGGTCTCATACATACAACTGATGATTCCACCTCTCTGATTGGTTTTCTGATAATCATCTCAGACGTACCACGTGTAAAATGAAGCCCCTGATCTCTCCCCTCAAGCCAAACTGCTCTACACTCAATTTTTCCTACCTCAGCTAATGGCAACTTCACCTTCCCAGCTCGTCAGGCTAAAACCTTGGAGTTATCTTGACTTTTCTCTTTTTTTCTTTTGCAACTGACATCCAATACAGCAGAAAATCTTATTGGTTCTACATTCAATCCCTTCTCAACACCAAGGCGGCTGCCATCCTTTTGCAAGCCACATCATCCATTTCCTAGATTACTGCAAGAGCCTCCTAACTGCTATTCCTGCTTCTTCTTTTTCCCTTTACTGCTGATATTTTATTCTTAGTACAGGAGCCAGAGTGATCCTACTAAAATATAAGTAAAACAATGAACAAGTGGGAAATGAAATTTTAAAATGCCATTTACAAATGGCTTCAAAAACCATTAAATACCTAGAAACAAATCTATCAAAAGATGTGCAAGACTGCTACACTGAAAATGACAAAACATTGCTATGAGACATAAATAAATAGAGCGGTATACCATGTTCGTGGATCAGATCTCAATATTGTTAAGATAACCATTGATTTATAGATTACTGCAATCCCTATCAAAACCTCAGCAGGCGTTCTTAGAGAAATTGACAAGCTGATTCTACACTTTCTATGGAAATGCAAAGGATCTTGATTGGACTAAACAATTTTGAAAACAAAGAACAAAACTCTTAAGACTACTTAAATTCAAGACTTACTATAAAGCTATAGTAATGAATACAGTGTGGTATTGGTGTAAGGATAGACAAATATATCAATGGATCAGAGTAGAAAGTTCAGAAATAGACCCACACATAGATGACAAATCAGTTTTTGATCAGGACACCAAGTCAATTAAATAGGGAAAGAAAAGTCTTTTTAAAGTGGTGCTGGAACAACCAAATTATCTGTACAGGGGAAAATGAACCCTAACTCCCTCTCACTTCGTACACAAAAATAAATTTCAGATGGATCATAGAAACAAATGCAAAGCCCAGAACATAGAGCTTCTACAAGAAAACTTAGGAGAATATCTTTGCCATGGCGGTAGACAAAGATTTCTTGGGTAGGGCTCAAGTACAAACCATTTTTTTAAATTGCCAAATTGAGCTTCAAAAATTTCAAAATTGGGCCGGCCGAGTGGCGCGATGGTTAAGAACTGGCTTGGGACGCCAGAGGGCCCCGGTTCGGATCCCACAT